CCCAGGCAGCCCGGAGCGGTGCAGAACGGCCCGGCCGGTTCCCCTGACACCCGCGAGCAGCACTCGGGGCGCGCCCGCTCCTGTTCGCCCGCGCCGGGCGCTCCGTGCGGGGCGGGCGGGGGAAGGACACGGCGGAGGGCACGGCGGCGGTGCCGGGCGGTGCCGGCGGAGGCGCGGGCAGGACGCGGCCGCTCTCGCCTGTCACACGCCATGTGCACCCGCGGCCTCCGGCGGGCCCCGGAGCGCCGGCCCCGCGTACTCACACTCGCGGCAGCTGCAGCGGCGGCGCCCCGCGCCGCTGGAACACGCCGTCCACGAACACGCCGTTCTTGCCGAGGCAGCGCAGGTAGAAGTCGCCCCCCGCTCCGCCCGCCGGGTCCCCCTGCGGCGGGGGCGGCGGCCCGTCCGCGCCGGCCGGCGGCGGCGGGGGCGCGGCGGTGAAGATCTCGAGGTGGCGGCGGGAGATGAAGCTGGAGTGGCCCATGCTCACGTCCACCGAGCCCTGCGACGAGTTGCGGCCGATGGTCACCGAGCGCTTCTTCATGAGGTACTCGAACTCCCGGCCCTCGAGCCGCGCCACGGCCGCCGCCGCCGCCGCCGCCGCCATCTTAGCGAGGGACGAGCGAGGCGCGGCCCCGCCCGCACCGGCCCCGCGCCGGCCCCGCACACAGCAGGGAACGGGGCCGCGCACCCGGCCCTGACGCAGCCACGCGCTGATTGACAGCGCGCGGGGCCAATGCGCGGCCCGCACGCCCATGGGGCTACGGCGCCGCGGCCAATGGCGAGCGGCGCCGGCCCCGCACGTCCGAGTGTCGGCGCACGAGCGCAGGGGCGCGGCCCGGAAAACGCGGAGCGGAGCGGCGCGCGGGGAGCGGGGCGGAGCTGCCCCGGCAGCACCTCCCGCCCGCCGGCTGTGAGGGGAGGAGAAGGACGGGAGGGGAGGGACGGGGCCGGCTCCGGGACAGCCGCACCTGCCGGCCGTCCGTCCCCGCACCCCCTTCCCTCCCTCTCGGCCACCTGCAGCCTCCGGCGGGGATCCGGGCTCCGCACCTGCCGTCCGCCAGCAGCGCCCTCAGGAACGGCACCGGGAGCGGGGGGAGAGGGGGAAGAATCGAGAACGGAATGAATACAAGTAGACGAATAGTGCTAGAGGGTGAGCAAGAACCACCAGGAGAGGGCTGGTAACTGCTCAAATTTAGCCTCAAAATACCGTATTATTAACAAATAATAAAAATAAAACTGTAAGTTCGACCTGACAGCCTTGCGGGGGTCATGTTAAACACAAAGGTAACTCCGCAGTGTCAGAGCTTTGTCACATCCACGGAAGGTCAGCAGAGTGTTTCAAATGCCCGAGTTCCAGGCGGGGCAGGCTGTATGTGTGTCCGTGCCCACAGCTCGGCTCAGCCCCAGGCTCCTCAGAGGAGCTGGGGCACCAGGACGGAGCGAGGGACCTGACACAAGACCCGGGCCCCGAGTGGCACTGCTCCGAGGGCACGGCACAGCCAGCAGCAGGAAGCACTGGGTGAGAACCCACTGCATGCCTTTGACTTGAAAATGGCACAGGCTACCAAAAAAAGATGGCATTAATGCTACACAGTTCAACAAATACAGCATCTGAATGAAAATATTACACCTGATCCAAATACTCATTGTTACAGGGACCAGGCACTGTCAAAACTGAAAAGTAAACAGTTGAACACGTTTGGCTATAAACGGCGAAGAGGGTGCTAAAATGTATTCATGCTTATTTACCAACATATGCACTACAAACATGTCACCGTAACAGCTCCATAACCTCACCGTGGTTCGTTGAGAAAAGGCTTGTGTTGTTTGGGTTTTTTACAGCACTGAAGCTCACCATTATTTATTAATAAAAATAACTGCCCAGAGAATCTGTGGCTGCGCAATCCCCAGATGTGTTCAAGGCCAGGTTGGATGAGGCTTGGAGCAGCCTGGTCTGGTGGAAGGTGTTTCTGCCCATGGCAGGGGGATGAACTTTAGGTCCCTTCCAACCCAAAGCATTCTGTGAATTCAGAAGACATTAAACATTTTTACACTTCAGCCAAAAACCAGCCAGCCTGCTAACAAACATCCAGCAGTAAAGTTGAAATTGAAACTTTTGGGTTTGCACATTTGAGTCAACAGGTCTTCAACTGTAGAACTATTTTGTGAATGCTTCGTAACAGACTATGATACCTGCTGCCTGCAAAGTTAGTTTTACCCTTAGGATTGTATCAGCACTTCTTATAGGCAGCTACAACTTAATTCCATACTGGTTTAGTCCATTTACACAATCTCATATGCACAGCAGATGCAGTAAAATATAGCAACAGTTTAGAGCTTTGGTTTCTTTTACAGAAAACTTTAGTTAAATCTTGCCCACACTTTGGTATTTAGAATCAGACTTTCTTCTATACCAACATATGTTTGGCACAGAAAATGTGGAGCATCAAAGAGGCAGTTATGACTCCCTGATTCTCAGCTTGTTTTTATCCCTTGGCTCTGCTGGCAAGAGAAATGTTGTGCCTGCTTTGCTAACAATCGCTTTGGGATCCTGAGGGCCCTGCTGGCTGGAATTACCCATGGACTGCCATCTCCTAACACACCCCACGCCTGCAGAGGGAGAAAACTGGCAGAATGGGAGAGCAGCCAGGTGAATTTCCATCAGGCCAGCAGCACTTTTCACCACCCTGATGGTTGCTCAGTTTGCAGAACTCAAAGGCACTGCTGCTACTTCACCATTTTCTGTTATGTGAATCACAGCTTTCTCAATTTGTATTAATTCATTAATAACAAGCAGTACTGAATTCACAAAGCTGATACAAATCCTGTCCTGTTCATAGAGAACAACACAGAGAACACTGACACGGAATGCTGAATTTTTGCAATCTGTCTGCACTGCAATTTCTTTCCAAGGGTCCCACCATCACCAAGCTGCTCTGTGGAAAGGAACTGAACTCCAGTAGGGCTGTTTGCTTCTGCATGAGCAAACACCAGACCCCATTGTCAGGAACTCCACTCGTTTCAAGAGGATGGCTGAGATCTTTCTGTCCGTGTTTTTCTAAACTGGAGCAGATTCAGTCACTTTGTGATCACACAGCACAGGTACAGGTCACTCCGACCTGCCCATGTGCAGGTCTGCTCTGTGCTGCACAGCAGCTGCATGTGGTGAACAGCTCACACTGACAGAACCTTCTCTCTGTTCTGGGTGTCTGGGTTCCCCAGAAATCCACTCACAGAACAAAACCTGGCCCTGATGTCAGAGCTGCACTGCAGGTACATCCTCTTTCACACTTTTTCCCCCTGCCAGCTGACTGAAAGCAAAAGGTCTTTTTCTCTGTCTGCCTTAAATCCACCTTAGCTATTCAGGATAGAATGAAGCTACTGACCAAAATTTAATCATGCCAAACTTCTGCAATGGCCACTGGCACTAAACAAGCTCTCAAAGCACTTCTTACATTTTTCTGCTTCATGCCAAGTAACCCAATGTTATCCAGTCTCCATCATATTATGCAGCAGCATCTGACTGCATCACAGAAATTAAGCACCTGTATCATCTAATCTTAAAACAATCTGGCCTGAGGTTAATAGAAATGTGTAAGTACCATCTAAGAGCTAATCCACTAATACTGTTTTATGTGACCAACCTGCCTTTAAATGACTAAACATTTTTAGACTTTTCCATTGTTCCTGGAAGCTCCTGCTGTAGCAACACAAGGGCATTCATTCAGCTGCTTGTGCTGGGGCTAGCACTGCCATAGAATGAAATTTTCTTTCTTATTACATGTGCCCTGTACTGAGGGCTATGAATGAGTGCAGCAGCTTCTCAAGATGCACATTTTCACAGATCCCAAGCACAGAGTACTATTAGAGGAATATGATGAATAATCAAGTAGATTAAGTGACCTTAATTGCTTACTTTGACACAACCAGCAATTAAACAGCTTTTAAAAGCTATCAGGAGCTATCCATAATCTTTTTATTACAGCAAGTGTCCCAGGCTTCCAGAGAGATTTGATTTTTAGTAAACAAAGTCCTACAAAGTTAATTGTCAGAAGCACTTCAGTAACATTCATGTTTGATATAACAAAATGAGCCTTTCAAATACCAGACTCTGTGCAACTGAATGAAGAAACATTTCCCATATTACCATCCCTGCACTTGACAAGCACATTTTTTCCTTTCCCAAGGTGAGAAGCCTCTTGTAAGCAGTAACAGCTTCCTCCAACAGAGCCTCAAACCCACAGCCACATTTTTGAGTAATCCCAATAACTATCCTAGAGCTCTTCACATGCTTAAATTTAACAAGGTGTGTAAAACTTAGCAGGACTCGTGCTGTGATTTAGTAATTTTCTCACAAATGCACTTTGGTCAAGGGGAAAGTGTTAAAAAAGCACTGTGTAATTGCTGCAAAATATTGAAAACAGCAAATGCCTGGGATGGTGGGAAGCTCTCCAGATACACCCTGCCAGTTTCTGAAGTGACTTTAATAATAACAGGAGAAAATAAACTGCTATACCTCAAATGTTAGCATTTTTTCCTTTATGGATGACTTTCACACCTCTTTAAGTAATAAAGCTGTAAAGTGCAATACTCTTAAAAAACCTAATCCAGAAGAACACATTTTTTGTAGGAGGAACAGGGAGGAGGGCAAACACAGCTACCTGAGCTGCCACTTGTTAACGTGCTGTTGACCTGGGAGAGAAGGGAGATGAGCACTGCACAAGCCAAAGCCACCCAGCAGCTTGCTGGGCTGGCTAGCTCCTTTGTGGAAATGCTTTATTACCCTTTGCATTCTAACCACAGGCTGCCTGCTTCCTAACACAGCCCAAAGAACCAGTCAGCACTTCTTACAAGTGCTAGGCAGAAAGTTTCTGGCTCAGCAATCACTCACTGACACAGAGGAATTGCTCCTCTCCAGGTGGGGAAGCCATCCAAAAGCTATGAAAAATAATCAGGCTAATTAATTCTTATCTGCAAAGAGCAATTAGATAACTGACCTCAAGGAGTTCGAGGAGGTGAGCAGTCGACTCAGCCATGCTGGAACTTCATAGTGACCAAAAGGATAAAGGCACAGCCCCAAATCCTCCATGTGTTGTGAGACAATGAAAACTCAAATGCCTTGGACAGAGAGCATCCGTTCCACTCTCCCAGGTAATCACTCAGAAAGGAACTCTACACTGCAACACCACAAAAGGATTTTTAGAAATTGCAGTAGCAGCATCTGTTAACTGGAAATGCAAACCCCCCCTTGCTTTGCACTCCAGCCTTGCATGACCCAGACCTTTGCCAAAGAAATAGTTAACTGTTCTTCAGGCTTCTATTTTGTGTTTAAAATTGGACCTAATGATTCAAAAGCACTGAAGTTTTGTTACCCACTTCTAAGCAAGAGTTCCACACAATGAAGTCCTGAAGCATAATCAGGACCAGGTCTCATCAGGGCAGCACTCACTGGACTGAATGCTGATCATTAGTAACTGTTATCAGTTATGAGCCACAATTCTACTGCAAGAATTTTCTCCAAGTTCTTTTGCCTTTTCTGCAATGGAATGTTCATCCTATCCCTTTGCTGGATCAAGAAATGGACAGCAACTCTGTTGGAATTAAAATGTGAATTAACTACATGAAACATAACCAAAGGTAAATCAAAACCAGTACCAAGTGTAAACTAACAAGAATCAATAAGAAAAACATGCTTTAAAAGATTCTTTTTATGACAGAGCCTTCTAATGGAAATTTGTCATTTCAGGGTGAGAGAAATGAAGCCTTTATCAAAATCAGTTTGGTTTGGGTTGGCTTTAAAATCAATGCCTTTTTCTCAGCCTAAAGAAAGCCAAAAAGAAACTAACAGTGAAGAGTAAAGACATATTTTTCTTTATGTCCGTCTTTGAAATATTTCTTACTGTGTCCAACAAGAAAAGTGCAGAACAAAGCAAACTTCAGAAAAGTTACTGAGATACTGAGGTATGAAAAACTATTACACACAGGTTAAGAAATTGTAATTGTTTTCACTGGAGACAAATGATATTGAAATCATGTAATAAGGCAAAAGCACTGAGAGAAGAACCTCATGTTCCAAAACCAGATATTGTAAGAAGCCCATAAAGAAACTGGCTGAATTCAAAGCACACAAAGAAAGATCCTACAAGGAATATGATGACAGCAGCACTGCTTCTCACATCTATATAAAGTATTTAGCATTGGTATTTTTAATGTGTAGCCAAAGCCTGAACAACTTAAAATAGGACATTTTCCATCCCTGTTAGGAATCCTCCAACACAAGAACCAACCTCTGTTCTCTGTTTATACCAAAATCTACCAAGAACCAGTCTTGCACAGCTGCATTTTTAACACTGACATACGGTGGAGCTGCTTGAGGATGTCCTTCCTGAAGACAAAACAAGATACTGAAGTACATTCAGTCTCAGGTTTGGCGCCAAAGATTTTCTCATTTTCCTAATAAATCTCAAAATATTCAGAACGGTTGTCATATTTAATTGCTTTTTCTATGAAACTTCCTTAAGTTTACGCCTAATCTTTAAAACATAAAGCATTTAAAGTTTTGATAAAAGAGAGAGAGAGAAAGTCACACTACTGACTTCTTTCTGGGAGGGGAACACTTGAACAAGAAATAGCTGTTTAGGATGATTTAGGAAAAAAACCCAAACAAATGTTGTGGTGCACAGGTTCTGTTTGAGTCCTGTGCAAATCACAAGGTGTTCAAGCAGCCTCCAGAAGGGTGAGGGGAGAATACAAACATTTCTGACAGGAGAGACAGCAATTTTTTCAAGATTCAGGCTCATGTTAACATGCTTTGCAATACAAAATGGACAGCACAGACAGGTCTGAGATTACCTTTAAAAAAAAGAAATATTGCTCAAATATCAATACCAAAGTCTTTTCAACACAGGGAGAGAAGAAAAAAAAAATCAATGAAAACCAATTTGTATCTACTGCAAATATAGAATACTGAGGCAGAAAGGTGTCACTCACTTCTACATGTTGACCTGAGTGATGTATGATAAACACTGTAAAGGTGAGACCCTTGGGGAAAACAGAACCACACATGAGGAAAGAAGTTCCCTTCAGCAGATACTCAGAACACCAACACACAGGCACTACAATACCTCAATCAGGAGCAGAAAAATGAAGCTGAGTCTCATCAGTCAAAGGCCACCACGGGGTTGTGTTAGGAACAGCCAGCAGAGAGTCTGTGACCAGAAGCTACTGATGCTCAGAGACAGTAATTACTGACAGATGTTCAACAGAGGAATAAATCTCTCTGCTGAGGACTTGGGTTCTTCAAAGCCCATCTCCTCCACCTCAATTTATTTTGCTAATTGAATTAGCCTGTGGTTAATTTGATACTCTGTTTTCATTTCAGTCTCAGAAAAGGAATGATGCAATAGACTGTATTCCAACATCCAAATAAACAACCCACCTCGTGATGAGGATGCAGGGTTTCCCACCAGGGTTTCCAAGTGCCCTCTACTCCAGTGCATTCTGTGGGGCATCCCTGCTGCCACGGGAACTGCTGTTTGGATAGTGACAGAACTGAGCACAAGAGAATGTGGAACAATTTGCTTGTAATTGTTACAGTTACTGCAGCCAGCAACACACAGTTTTTCATTGCCTGTTATCAAATCACTGAGGTGCAGAACTGGGACAAGGAATCACAGAATATCCTGAGCTGGAAGAGACCCACAGAGATCATCACAGCCCAACCTCTGGCCCTGCTCAGGACACCCAACAATCCCACCCTGAGAGTTGTCCCAGGTCTCCTGGAGCTCTGGCAGCCCTGGGGCTGTGCCCATTCCCTGGGGAGCCTGGGCAGTGCCCCACAGTCTCCTGATCTCCGCAGGAAGAATCTTTTCCAACCCAAACCTCCCCTGAACACGTGGCTCAGGAATAAAAAACAAACCCAAAACAACAGAAGAGCAAAATTTGCTCAGTAGAAATCATGGAAAGTTAACATGAAGATAAGCATTTCTATATGTGTAATAGATATATAGACCATAATATATTAACATTTTAAAATGCACTTAAAGCTTTTCTGAGGATGGACAGCAGCATTTGAGAAAAACAGCAATATGCATCAAGTACACAGCAGAGCACATTGCACAGCATCAGCTACAGGACTTTTTTGACTTATCACAAGCAGTTTATGCCACCTGAAACTTGCCGAGTGCAAGAAGCTTTGCAGATAAAATCCAGCCACTTTCTAACAGGATTCTTAGATATAAATAAAACCAGAATCTGAGAGTTTAAAATAGAGTTGAAATATTAGTAGGTTGCAGCTCACAAACACATTGCTCTTTCTCCCAAGGACACAAACACAAAATCAGTCAACTTGCACAGATCACCATTAAAGTTTCTAACCCAAAAAATATTTGTAAAACACTATTAAATTTAGAAGTTGTCTGTAAATAGAGCAGCTACACAAGCCCTGCCCTGCAGACTGCTGTCACTGCCCTGGGGCTGGTCAGTGCTGGGGATGACTTGAGAAGCTCAGCAATTCAACAACTTAATTAGTGGTGTTGGCAGGCTCCAGGATTCTAATGAATTTTTAACTTTCTACTAATCAGTTTCAAGGGACTATTCGTATTTTCCCTCATCACATCCCTAATGGCACTTTTCACTCAAATTGTCTTTATTTTACTTAATAAGGTTGTTTTCCTCCCCAGAAAACACTTACTAAGAAGTTATTTGCAGGAATCAAATTGATTATTGATGTAAGCACAATTCTGCAGACTGACCTTTGACACATCATTCAATGCATTTTTTTGTCATATACTGGCACAGAGCTCTGCAGAAATGATTTTATTTGCAAGTTTGGTGCCAGTCTTCCTGCCTGACCTTTGGGCCTGATCTTTTTGTGTGCGTTTTACTTTCTGCAGCTTTTAAGAGAAATGTTGCTCAATACAAAGATATCTTTCTTAATTCCAAAGCAGGGGGCTTTGGCTCCCTCTCAGGTTGGCCAAGCTTTGAAGGCAGCATTATGAACTGTTTGTGTCAGTATGACAACACCCCAAGCACAGGAAGTGTAGCCCACTACCTCAGAGGCTTTTCAAGTTTCCTAATAGCCCTTGTACAACAACAAGTGTTTCTGCAATGTCACATGATTTATGCATCCTCATTCTTTGATTTTGGATCCATTTTGATTAAAGAAAAAAGCAAATACAGGTAAGAACATGCTTCCTATAATTAACACCAGTAACAGTCTTCAATTTCTTCCACAGATAACATTTTTCCCTCAGTTTATCAACTTATTTTGAAAATCAGACACCTGTGATTCTGTTCAGGCTTTACACAATCCCAGACATGTGAATGCAGCTGAAAATCTCCTTCCATTAATTTTCTTCCTTTGTAAGAAAAGACTGAAAGGCTATTTTCCCCCAATAAAACAGTTGCAGTAATTGCAGAGGCAGGGTTTTAGTAGACAAGAGGGGAAGAAAAACATCACTCACAGCTGTAACTGAATAAACCAAGATTAGGATGGATGGAAGCAGGGAAGGAGAGAGGATCACTGGACATCCAAAAGAGACATATTTTTGTATCTAAAAATATTTTTTTCTTCCAATTCCCAATACAGAATGTTAAACACAAAACTTACCCTCTTTGAGGACACCTGGTTATCTCACCATTAAATACATCAATACTGCCCTGCAGTTTGGAACTCGCCTTTGCTATTTTACACCACAAAGATCTGATATCAAAGAGTAATCAAAATTTGAAACAAGTGAATTTAAAACATCTACTAAGTATCCTCACAAACTTTTTTTCCCTCTTAACAACTGGTTGTTTCTTTGGGTTTTTTTTGTGGGTTTCTTTTTGTTTGTTTGTTTTTTTTTAATTAGGAAGGCATGAGGCAGAATAAGCAAATGAGGAAAAAAGCTCTTAAAATCAGCATCCTGGAAGCTCATAATTTTAAGTTAAACCCTTAATATCCTATTTCTAATGCTCAATAGGCTTTAAATTTGTCACCAAAAATAGCTATTATTTGCCTAAGATCCCAGAATAACTTGACATAATAATCTGAATAGCTGGATCAGCTTTTTCCTCAGTGCTTTTCTGCATGACTACAAGGTGAAAAGGTGTTTCACATCACAGATCAATGTTCAGCCCACAGCTCAATCCCAAGCTTGCAGTGGTAGTGTCATTTCCTGGGCTTGCCACTGGTTCCCAGCCTCAGAGCACCTCCCTGGTGTGACTGAGAACAAACCACATGAAAGCAATGACAGGAATAAAAAAAGCCAGTCAAAGATACCACCCTTCTGAGGGTGTATTTATGTGAGCTCCTGTCTCCAGGTTATCACATGGACTCACAAAGTGTGTCAGAGGCTGTGGGGAGACTGGAAAAGGGAAGAGCAGCAGCAGCTGTGGGAGCTGGAACATGAACCCAGGCCCCCATTCCACCCCAGAGTCACTGATACCTTGGATAGCCTGGCAGCCCTGCACAGCCCTGGAATGGGTCTGACAGAACACTGTGCACATTCACCAGAGCACTTCTAACTTCCACCAGAGATCCTCTTCTGGCTATGGCTTTTGGAAGCTATCCTAAAAAAGAAGAACAAGTACCTTATTCCTGCATTTCCTATATTTATTTATAATTCATCAGTTTTGAAATAAAGTTATGCAAATGTTTATCGTATGATCAGACTTTAAAAAATGCTGATTTAGGACTATTTTAGACAAAGGGAGACAACAGCTATATGAATTACAGGAAGAGTTATTTTTTCTACGCGTTCACAAAACACACCTGCAGCTGTCTTAATTTACAGCAAAGTCCACAACCAAAGCACAACCTGGTGAGGTATTTTTGCTCAACTCTTACCCAAACTCGTATCTGCAAGCCTACACAACACACTGAATCAGGATGTTACAGACAAGAATCATTTTCACCTATGAGAATTATCTACTGCAACCTGTACTTTCATCTGCCCTTCTGGAAAAGAAAGAGAAAGACAAGTCACTAGAATACATTAAATATGTTGCACTCTATTATCCCTAAGTACTTTTATCTAATTTGGGATTTAAACCAGCACAAGAATTATCAGAGCTGCTCTGTGGAGACTCACTTTAAGTCATCCCAGATCAACAGCTAAATCACAAGTTAAACACTATTGTACCATACTCAAAGCCAGGTTGGTTTATCCTATGATGGAGTTTTTAAATTCCAAAAAATCCTCCTACCACAGGATTTTATTTTTTTGCCACTGAAGGTAGTAACACTAAGACAAGAAGTGCTGTGTTCATTTGAAAAATAGGTCATGTCAAAAACTGCTTTGAAATGATTATTTAAACAAAGCTTACAAACAGTGATGAAATTCTTCTGCTGAAAATGTCTTCTGATGTCTGCACCAAGGTTGACCAACCAAGAAGGAGCATACAGGAGGGGAAAGAAATTTGTGCAGAGAACCAGGAAGAGCAAGGATGAGACTTAACAGATATTCCAAGGATGTGAAGATCAAGAACAGGAATACACACTAATTTCAGAAAATAGCCTAACAATGACTTCATTAGTTAGTTCTAAAATATCTAAGCCAAACATGTTTTTAGGAAAGCATATGCAGTTTGTCACTGAACCTGAGTGAAGCCAAAGAACCAATCTAAGTAGCAACATGTGTCCATACAAGAGACCCGATTTTTCACTGTCTCTACTGACTGCACACACACTTACCAAAGTATTTTTGCTACTACAGACAGATGTTTACAAACACACAATAGTAACCACATAAAAAAAGATTATTTAACACAGTGCCTGCAGTCATCTCACTTCAGACCATATCCTCTTTTAAAGCCAGAGAAAGAAATGTCTTTGTGATACATCCTAAAACACCTCCACATGCACACACTGTTACCTAGTACAGACAAAGCTATTCACATCAGAAATTGTCTGTATTAAGTTGCCCCCATGAATGTATTTTAAGGGTTCCCATATCTTAAAAGCCATGGATCAGGACTGTGGCTACTTCAAAAACAGTAAAAAAGAAAAATGGAAAGCAGAAATGCAAGATGAAATCATTCTGGATCCTATGTTTTATGAAACAACATTTCAAAATTCTATAAAATCCCCATGTTCTCAGAAGGCCAAGGCTCTGAGTAACCTGATCCAAAGCTGAAGTCAGCCCTGCTTGCAGCAGGGTGGATTAGATGACCTTCAGAGGTCCCTTTCAATCCACATTAGTTTAAGGTTTCATAAAATAAACTGCAGAGTGGGGCTGTGTGTGTACACACACACACAAAAAACCACTTGCTCTCTTTTATTTGTAGATACCCTGGGCAATCTCTGGCTACAGCTCCACTGAACACTGCATACAGAGCATGATTACACACAGCACTCAGTGGAGCAGACTGATTTTGGCATCTTAAATACAAGGTAACTTTGCATTTATGGACAAGAACTACAGAAAGAAGTACTGCTCTATGACCTAAGTGAGGTGGTGAACATGTAACTTCTCACACTTGAGAAGTTCTAGAAGAGCTCTACCTGATCTCAGAACCATCCAGCTTATCTGTTGAATCCTCAGAATTGTGAAACCACAATCCTCACTGCCAGGGCTCTGAGTGCTGTAGTGGTGAGGAATCTCTGGAATTATAAATGAAATTAATCTCTTCTGCTGAGACAGGGGAAAAGAGAGGAAGCAGGCTTGTGCTGGCACAGGACACTCAAACCACAAACAGTGCTCAGGTTCACCATTCCTCTCTGACCCACATTTCATTTACACATCTCAAACTGAAACTCCACTTCTGCAACCTCTGGAATTCCTCCTTTGATGCATTCTCCTTCCTGCTATCCACTGATCAGTATTTTCAGCAGTGACTCATGAGAACATGCTTAACACAACACACAGCTGAAACTTGTTTGGGGTGTCTTGATTTAGAAGCCCAAAACAGGGCACAGGACATGAAAGCCTCTTGCAAAAGTAGTAACAAGCATCATCATCACACTGATGATAGTATTTCATACTATTAAATCAGACAAATGATCATGGCTTATAAAAGTCATATTTCATATTTCAATTTTACCACAAGATAAAACCCACGATGATCTACTAAGCCTGAAGAATTCAGAATAAAACCAGGTTCCTGTCTCCCTGTTATGTTCCTAAATAATGTGCCTCAATGCAGCATTCCTCTTGACTGACTGATCAAGCTTTACAGACTTACAAGCATTCAGAGTAAGAAGAGAGCCAGAGAATCTAACAGCAATTTGAACTGGTAAGAAAACAGGGCATTGAACAGTTTTTTTAAGTACCCTATTCCAGTATCTCACCTCAGTTCTACTCCCCTCTCCAGCAGGTCTGTAGTGATCTGCAAAACTCCTTATTTCACCAAGAAATCTGCCAGATCTATTTGAAACAATTTTTCCTCTGGTTTTGTAGGAGTTTTTTACCACAGAAGTAAATCACAATATAGGCCAGACTACCTTTCCCCAGCAAGACACACAGTTTTCAGGTGATACTAGGTTATGTGAGCTAAGAGCACAACTGTAGTTACTGTGATTTTAGAAAATAGCTTCTTCTAAAGGCTAAGTAATGGAAGATTTAGTTAGTACTATAAAAAAAAAGTGCATTGTAACTTCAATTCTTTAACTAATGGTTTGAAATTTAAGTTCAACACAGAACAGCCCTTATTTAGATGAAGTTTCCCAGTTTATGCATATAAATACTCACATTTCAAGAGATTTGATAAATCCACAGTTCTAAGGAAACCAACTGGCACAGTAAGTCCACTTTACCAACAGAAAACAAAACTAAAATTTGGTGGTTTTATAGCTACTTCCACCATAAATCTCTACAGAAAATTCTCACATTTAACATTCAGTATTCAGTACTGCCAACAGCAACAACTTATGATTCTGCTTAAAGTAATTCTCCTAAAGTACATTTGTAATGTATTATTGGAATAAGACGGTAAGTAATTCTTATGGCTTTAGTTCTGACATCTGAACATAGTCAAATTCCATAATTTTTATAGACCCACAGCAGCAGAAAGCCTTCCTTGGCCATTTTGACTACAGCAGAGCCACTGTTCAACACATCCATCAGAAGAAAGAATCTTGTTTCAGAATCATTTCCATTCACCATTCTGCTAACTTTACTGGAAAATAGCAATGATAACATTCTGCCCTACAGAAGTCAGATATTCAAAAGTGTATGCTCATATAGCAACCCAAATATATCATCTGTCACACTGTAACATTACAAAAGGAAATGTTCAGCAGTCTACTTTCTCTTGATTTTCCTTCAGCATGAAGTGCCAGTGTCATGGGAGGTTTGGGGGAAGCCTCAGTAAGAGATGAATTGTGTTATATTCCAGTACTATGAACAAGAATAATCCTTCTACCAGTAATTTACACAGTGAGTGCAACTCAACAAATCAGGTACTGGCAGTATTACTCTACTTACATAACAGTAAGTCGTTAAATAATAGAAATATTTGCAGTGTGCATTTAAAAAGGCAAAAGATGAGGCTGAACTGGCTGAGAATATGCAGTTGTGGATTCTTCTGATCTTGAAGACTTTGGAGGAAAATGTAATGGAAGGCTGAGTCCTCTTCCCTTCTCACTATAATGACACCAACAATCAAAAATCTGAGAGCACTGGAAGACACTTCACTGAGCATAAGTGTCACCAGTCACACTTCTTCCACGAGCCAAACGGAGTTATTTACATGAGTCATTGTTTGGTCAAAGAAAAATCTGAAAGGTACAGAGCAACGAGAACACAAATACAGAGGAAGTGGCATTTTCATTTTGAGAAAGCCTCAAAAAACCGCCTTCTCAACTTTTTTTTTTTTTTTAAATCAATCTGTACAACATTTAGAGCAAAATCTATTGTTCATAAAGCAACATTGAATTCAGATACTTCATAAGCATCAAGATAATATTTAAGAGCAACAGCAGTTTCTTACAGCCAGTGAAGTAGCTCATTTAAAAAACTGAATGTAGAGTATAATGATCTAATTAGGGGAATTTCTCCCCACAGAGAGGCTGTTCTAGTGTAAGCTGGTGGGAAAGCCCAGCTGGCTTGAATACTGTAAGATCAAGACTGAAAGCTTATGCAAGTGTGTGGTTAAAGAAAAAAAAAGTTAAAATCAGAACACTGGAAGTTTCTGTGCTTCTGACAACCATACACTGAATACCCTGAATGCTGTACCAACCTCAGCTTCTCGGTTCAAAACCTTTGCAGGATTACTCACACTTGGTAACTACAAAACATTCAGAACCGCCAACATCGTTCTGTAGAACTTCAGTTACTGAAAGTACTCCACTTATTTCATCTCTGTTACAGAAGAAAATAATTAAGATGCATCACGTATCAGTTCATGTATCAGCTTTTGTACTATCAAAAGCAAAGCAAGACATCAAATGATTCAACCACAGAAGATTTTAGATAAGCACCAGAGTAGCTGATCTCAATTACTCATTTTTTCGAAGGCACCAACGCAATCTGCAGTCCAGCATTTTTACCCATCATTTTCCAGGGCATCAATCAACTGCACAAATGCCTTCCAATACATGGGATATGTTACATTTGTTCCCCAAAGAGAAGCATTCCTAGAAACACATTCAGATGCAAGCACACTTAATGCTGCAACTGACACTAGAATATTGTTTCTATCTTAACCCTTCTGAGTTTTAAATAAAATGTAAGGAACTCAGTCATTAAGAAAACCTACAAAAAGTTATTAAATTCTGACTAAGTTTAGCAATACCACGAGCACTTTGGCTTGCTCTCTTTTGCTGCCCCTCAGAGAACTCTGTACGGACTCTTCCAGGGAAATAATCCACTCCACACACTTAAACATTGACATAACACAATAAAACTTTAGGTAATTAAGTTTAATGTGCTGTTCAACACAACATGGAATTTCACACAACTTACAGTAATTCTTTACAGTTCACAAGAACCTCATAGCAAAATCAAAATGGAGTAAAAATTGCCCCGTATTGTTATGCAAGAGCTTGATTTTCTTCTTACTGCTCACTCTAAAAAGCAACACAGTAATAACAGTTACAATATGATATTCAAATACTTAAACATGAAGTAAGTTTATATTGTTTCACCAGATCTAGGGAAGCGCACTCCCTTAATACAACCTTCTCACTTGGAAATAAGAGGAAATATCACAATAAGTGCATTTGTGCTTTTCTATGTGCAATACACATAAAGAGACCAACACCTTATGTTTTATGATATATAAACAGAGGTTTCACTACAGTAAAACACAGACCAACTTTCAGCATTACAATAAATTATTTGTCTGAGACTAACCACTCAATTGTCTGTAAGGAAAAGCTGTGTTACAGTCCCTTTGAAGTCACATTAGTGAAACAACCACAGACTGTGGTTTGACGGGGTGGGGGTGGTTTTTTTTTTTGTTTTTTTCTTTCTTTTTTTTCCTTTCTTTAATTAAAAACAAACTATGAACACTAAAGATCAAAAGCAGTACATACAGAATCTTTTAGGCCAATTAAAAATTGCAACTAGTCAAAACAAAGCACTGAAAATTGATTTGTTGGAGAACAGGAAGCTGTCCTACCAAGCAGGTTATATTTATCAGGCTTTTTTTTTCCTTTCCTTTTTTCTTTAAAATTTAACTTATACTTTCCTGCTTGCTAAGAAACTCCTCAGCTGTTCACCTTTGTCATGGTAAGTCTATAGCATTAACGGCTTGCTGGAGCTTCCCCGGGGATTGTTTATTTGCATTCCAAGAGAATTGCACTTTACAACTGCCCTGTCTGGTCAGTAATCACGCGGCTCTTCAGAGAACACATTACTCAAGATGAAGAGAAGTTCTGCAACACAGAGTCTTGCAAAGTCCCACAGCTATGAGGAAAGCTGTGCAGCAAAAATCATTACAAAAGGTGGTGCCAGGGCCAAATTAGGAGAGACAGGGACAGGCTGAAGCCTCCCACAAAGCTGGGGCTTCCCAAATCACCATTTGTTACTGACTGACACCAACTCATCCTACTGCACGCTTCAGCCATCCTCTCTGAACTGCTGTGACACTTCTGAGTATCTATTTTGTATTTGTATTCTGTTTCATTTTTACTGAATTGAGGGAAAAAAAATACAGTCCATAATGAAATCCCAAGAAAATCAGTTCATAGAATCACAGAATGGTTTGAGTTGGAAGGGACCTTAAAGATCATCTTGTTCCAAGCCCCTAGCATGGGCAGTTCTATCATGAGAATTTGTCTTAACACAGTAAAGAAATTTTTTAATCCCTATCATTCAACTACTACAACATTAAAAGAATCTCAAATTCCACAAAGCTTCCTCAAAAAATCCTGTTCAACTACTTTTACTCATTACTTTTCAGTATTAGAGCAAATAACACATATTTAAAAAAAAATATTGTTATCTGCTTTGACAGCTTTGTAATTGTTACATGTACACAAGAAAATGAATTTTAAATTAGCTTGGTTAAATTGCAAATGTTAAAGTTAGAAGCAAATAACAGAAGAAGGACTGGAGAAGGACTGATTGTCTTCAGAAATCTTAGTGGATGTGCGTTGGTAACCCTTCCATTTGGCTTTGCCCTGCTAATGCCCCTTTAAATCAGAATTTCTGTACATTCTTTCTTTCCTGTTATATCAGCCTGCCAATTCCTCATAATAGCCACAACTCAAAAAGCCATTCCATTTCACCTGGCAAAAATCTATTTGACTCCCCCACTGCTTCTCCATCAACTTAATTCTCTACAACTGCTGAAAGCCAATGTCATCAGGCTCCAAGACCAAGCAAGAAACCAAACATTAAGCCACCAAGGAAGCTGAATTTAAGTGTTCTTCCTCCACTGCCTTTGATGTGTGCAGTCCCTTAATAGCTAGAGTTTAGCTAACCTAAAATTAGATTCAAGAGTAAAAAGCCTAGAATACAACAGCTGCTTTATGATTATTGATTCTGAATGTGCCAATAAAGCACCTGCAATAAGACCTTGCTCCTTGCTCTTTTGACCCTCGCAAGCACAGAATGAAAAGACATATTTGGTAGAGCCCAAAACAACAAGAGGAAAACATGACAGCCAAGTGCCTGGAAAGCAGGAAATACCCGCCTACATCGCCTCCCTTCAATAGGAAGTGCAGTACCACACCTCTGAAAACAAGAAAGAAGTATACATTAACATAAGCACTGTTCCTTTCTGAAGAAAACTCACCATTTTCTATTTGCCCAGATTTCTAAAAACACTGAGTTAGCAATTGAGTTTGGTCTTACTTTTAATCTGCAAGTTCAGCTACCAACAGGACTTTGGGCAGCTGATTTGACCCCTGTATGGAGAGCCCACAGCCAGTAAGAACCTCAGCGACATCAGCACTCTACCTCACTGCTCTCCTGTGAACCCAAGACAAAGCCGACAGTGTCACCACTGATGTGGGGTTCAGACACTGAAACACAAACCATTTTCCTCATGGTGAGGTTATGCAACTGCTCATGGTAGGAAACATTCTCTGGAATAACACAGCATGCCCTAGGATGTCTGTCTCATTAAACTCCTCTTATTTTTGACTCTCCTCATCCTTAGGTAGCTGTTGCTACTTAGCCTTTTACAATTACCACTGTGTACATGCCTGATCATTTGTTCAGGATTTTATGTACTTGGTGGGATTTAGAACCTTCACACTGATATCATGAGACTCTTCCAAAGCCTCACTGCCTTACCTTTTAGGACAACAAAGTTGTTTTCATACCAAACAATTTTCCACAATATTTATTGTATCTCAGAAGTCTGAAGTAAGCAGTCAATTAAACACAAACCCTCTGTCTCACCTGTATCAAATCAGTCCCAGGGATTCAGTTACTGCTGCACTTCAAAATAAAATTACAGTGCCAGAGAAAAATGCTATTTTGAACAATGTACCTGAATTTTTCAGCTTCATCAGCACTGGTATTTATTTACTCCTGACCTAGCTTCCAAGGATTCTTCTCTGTCATAGAATTGCTTTCCGAACCCCAAATCGTTCACCTGCTAAAATCAAAAGTAAGAACAATCAGGAAAGTCACAAGGAAAACCACAGTGGATGATGAGAATCAGACAAACATGGTACTTGACATACCTCACCATACTGGTGAGGGGTTTAGACACATCATGCAAAGCCAATGCAATGTCCTATGGCCTCTGTGTCTCCCTGTACACATTAAAATATACAGTTTTTTAAAGGTCAGAAAAACTAAGACATGGATGAATTATTCAGTGAGACTATGTGGATAATCAAAACCTAAAGAAAAAGTAGTGGACAAGCACACCTATTGGAGGCTCCTCTGATCTCAGCTGGGAAAGCCCCAGTTACTGAAGACACTGCAGTAACAGACAGCAGCAGTCCATGTTGGGGTGGCCTTGCTCAGCACAGCGTTATTTCTAGATAGTTTAACACATCCCTTGGTGTGCAACACTTGGTCAACAGTGAAACATCTTTCTTTTGAGGAAGGTTAAAGCACAGGGAGTTGCACTTGCCTGGAGACTGCACTACTGTAAAAGCCTAACTGCTGATGGGGACACGTGCAAAGTACTGGGTATTTCCTTGTTCACTCATGAACCTGTACACAATCAAGGAAGGCAGTCACTAGGTTTGCTGCTTGTACTCAGCAACTTTTCCAGTATCTCTTTCAGATTCTTGCCTCAGAAGGACTGGACCATCAATTATGTACCAAGATGCTTTTAGATAATGAAGCAGAGCATGAATGACATGAGTTTCAAATTAACAAAATTAAGTGTGATAATAAAACCAATTCAAAATACTTTCAAATGAGAACCATGCAAAAAACCACAGTATCACTAACGTGTCATCTGTCCTTGTCAATGTGCAGTGCCCCAGCATCTCTTGCTCCTCTTTCACAGTTACAATTCTCACATCTCCAAATTCAGAACAAGCAGATTCTTTAGGCAGCTGGTCATCATCATACCTGCAAATACAACCCAGGCTGTTAGCCGAAACACTTCTCTGCAAAAAAGTTCTGCCTCTGTTTCATCTGCAGTAGTGTCATGTGCTCAGCTATACACTTCAGAAAACAAAGACAGAAAATCATCTACAAAAGAGATGCAAAATCTTCAATTTAACTAAAATCAGCTACATATTTTCCTTTTTATATATAACTTTTATCTCATTATTTTTAAACGTCAGCTACAGTCCTTCAAGTGGTACCAAGAAAAATATTTTATCCACCCTTCCCAAGTAAGGAGAGGACAGTACTAACATTCCATCTGCTGATATTAAAGGAGTGCTGGCTGACAATGCTTTCTTCCTTCCCAGTGATCCTTCTCACACTCTCAGAGAGGGGACAGAGCAGAGCTTTCGACAGCAGGTTGTAGCTGTCATACCTAGAAAGACACAACTGGTATCAACACTCAGAATTATTTACTTGCTATTAGCAAACAGAGGAATATCGTGACAATCTACTCACATATCCAGTAAAAACCCTGCGACTTCTTCACCGTTTCTGAAATCCAACTTTTCCTTAAGAGTCACCTACTGGTCAATGTGATTTCCCACATAAATCCTTGTTTTCCCCCTTCTTCTATCAAGATTTTTATTTCTCTTTTTCTTTTCCAGAAAAGACAACACTGGGGGCCTTCCAAACCTCTTTGCTGGCAGGGACATGCTGAGCCTGAAAATAAAGGAGAGGCTTTATTGAAAGGCAGCTCAGAACAACAGGTCAGCGTCCCGAGCCAGCACAGCGAGGACTGATGGCCGAACACCTTTGGCTCCTCACAAGTCAAGCACCCGCTGCAGCCCCGCACCGACGGCTCCCGACCCGCGCCCGGCCGCTCGGCTCTTCCTCCCTCGCTGTCTCTCCGCGGCAACAATCGCTCAGAACGTGGCCGCTTCCAGGCGGAACACGGCGAAGGACTGCGGGACAGCCCCTCACACCGCCCCTGAGGAGAGGCGCCATTCCCGCCTCACACCGCCCCTGAGAGGAGAGGAGCCATTCCCGCCTCACGCCGCTTCTGAGAGGAGAGGCCATTCCCGCCTCACACCGCCCCTGAGAGGAGGAGCCATTCCCTCCTCACACCGCCCCTGAGAAGAAAGGCCATTCCCACCTCACGCCGCTCCGGACGTGGGGGACCATTCCGGCCTCACACCGCTCCTAGGATAGACACAGACATTCCCGCCTCATGCCACACCTGAGGGGAGGAGCCATTCCCGCCTCATACCGCCCCTTAGGGGAGGAGCCATTCCCGCCTCATACCGGCCCTGAGGGGAGGAGCCATTCCCGCCTCACACCGGCCCTGAGGGGAGGGGCCATTGCTGCCTCACGCCGTTCCTAACGGGAGAGACCATTCCGGCCTCACACCGCTGCCGGGACACGCACAGACACCGACACAGACATTCCCGCTTCATGCCACCCCTGAGGGGACGCCAGCTCCTCTCGCTGCTCCGCAGGGCGGACACGCGCACCTCACACCGCCCGAGAGGGGACAAGCCGTCACAGCGCCCCTGGGGGGTACGCCCTTTCCCCGCCGCCCTTCCCTTTCCCCCCGACGCCAATCTCCCGCTGCCCCCGGCGGGGTGGTCGGTCTGTCGGTCGGGGTCGGTCTGTCGGTCCCTCACCCGCCGCAGCGCCCGGGGTAAACAAGGGACACGTGACCGGCGGCGCGCGCTGATGGCGCGAGGATGACGTGAGGGGCCCGCCCCGGTTTTAAGGAAAAAATTAAAAAAAAAAATAAATAAAAGGATTTTAAGTGTCAAACCAGGGCAATGGCTCGAAACCTGTCGTGAGGGAGCAGCCAGTGGCGCTCAGGTAAAAACTGTTCTCAGCCCTTCGCTGAAGCCCAGAGGAAGAAATAACTCAGCATGATTTGTTAAATATTTGTTTAATAACAAACTTAATTACGTATGCACGATAAAAAAAATCTACTGTTTTTCCAAGCAGCAATTCGCAGGATGAGTGTCCAAAATACTGTGTGGTTATCTTACCTTCTGAAAGGCCAGATTCAAAGACAAAACTAGAATTTTGCTCTGAAGAGCAAAAGATGTTTAAAATGCAACCCACCTGTGAAAATGCTAAATCAGTGACACCAAGAGAAAGAAAATGCAGAGAGAATTTGCAATCCCTGTTGTCACAGTGTGTTCTAAGAGTGACACACAAAACCTGCATTCCACCAGGTCCTTGGCACCTCCACACACTCCTGTTTTTTAAAATAAATAACTGAAAACTCAGACCAAGTTAGCCAGCAATATTTGGATAATTTTATCTAAACAAGAGAGGGACAATCATACCTGCCAGTTTTAAGGCAAGTGAAGCCAAGACCTGCACCCTGACTGCACCTTGAGCAGCCTAATCCAAGTAATAACAAAGTAGAATTCCTCATGTTTATTGTTCACTGCTGAGGTTGGACGACTCATCACATTTAAATTCTTTCACACGAGCTTCCTAACTGCCTTTTTTTATCTGTTATCATTGTATCTGAAGAGAATGAATAATTTTTGTCTGAAAAAATAAACTGAATTATGCTGTGTGGTACCTAACATGCAATAAAATGTGCAGAAAACATGAAGAAAGAAAAAAAAAAAAGGAACAGTCAATCAAACCAAGAAGCTGAAGCATTTTTACTACAGAAAAATTGCATCTCTAACAATATATTTGTTTCATGTTTCCTATTTTACTTTCTCCCCCTCACCATCTGCCTCTGTTCTGCTTTTTTCTTTCAAAAAGCACCCACCTCATTTAGCTTCACTCACACACAGGATCATCATCACAGGATTCAGGCTGGATTAAAACAAAATCCCCAATGCCAAATCCAAAAAAGCACTACCTCTTCATAAAAGACTTACTCCATAAAAAAGTTATTCCAAAAATAGCTCTCCTTTTTCTCACAGTAGCTGTAGATCTTTAAGAGAAGCAGTCCATCTTGCTAGACATCCTCTGGGCAAAGGAACTCAAGGTTTTTGGCCCCTCGTAACTCTGGGTGGGACCTGTGCCTTCAGTGCTGCTCTTTTTGCCAAATCTTGCCCGGTTCTTTTGGTAGCCAGCACCAAATCCCACAAGAGTGAGATCCTGTAGTGAGGAGAAAGAAGGTGAATTACAGAATGTGCAGTTCTTGAGCAAGAGCTGCTCCTTCCATCGAGGAAGCAGCTCAGCAATGCCCAGGGGATTTGCTGTTCTGTGGAGCAGAGTCCCACTGCTTTGCTTGTGAAAATAAAACCATGTTGGGGAGACAGTTCTCAGAAGGAGATAGTGAGAACTGGAGAATGGAGGACAAACACTCTCATCGGTGAGTGAATTCCCTGCAGCAGACAGTGAATTTGTACTGCAGTCAGTGCACGGGCTAAGGAAAACTTCTGGGCCCAGCTGGGGTACGGCCCTGAGCCTCTGGGTCTCTGGGGAGAACGCGTTCTGTGCGGGGCAGCGAGGAGCTGAGCCAGCCAGACACCCTCCCAAGGCGCTGGCACCTCAGTGCCCGTCCTGGTGCCTTCAGGGCCAGAGGGACCTTGGCACGGGGGCAGCAGGAGGGAGCAAGGCACCCACTGTTATCCTGGCTGTGTTCTGGGGGTCCTGGCAGCGGCTGGGGCGCCACAGGGGGCTCACAGAATCACAGAATCAATTACACTGCAAAAACCTCTGAGATATCCCGTCCAGCCTGTGACCAAATGCCAGACCACGGCTCTGAGTACAATGTCCAGCTGTTTGTTTCTTAAACACCTCCAGGGATGGTGACTCCACCCTGGGCAGCCCATTCTGATGTTTAATTACCCTTTTCATTAAGAAAATCTTCCTGAACCTCCCCTGGTGCCGCTCCAGGCCGTTTCCTCTCTGTTGACCTTCACCTGTCATGGAGCGCATGCTCACCCCCAAAATTCCTCTTCCAGACTTGCAGGGCTGGATGAGAGGGAGAAAAAAATATGGAACGCTTCACGAATTTGCGTGTCATCCTTGCGCAGGGGCCATGCTAATCTTCTCTGTATCGTTCCAATTTTAGTATATGTGCTGCCGAAGCGAGCACGAACGGGACACCCTACCCGCCGGTATTTGTACCCCCAGGATTCGGGCTCCGCAAGGTCAGGGTGACCCCTTTGGACAAACTGGCAGTGCCGGTGGAAGAGGCAGCATCCGTGCACGACACCCCGACTGTACTGAGGGTCTGGCGGGCAGGAGACGGCGGAGAAGAGGGGAACAGACCCCAAATCCGGCCTAATCGGCGTTATGCAAATAGCTCTGCCGTATGCAAATACGCGCAAAGCACTCTGGGGCGGGGCGGTTCCGGGGCTCCTCACGGTGCCGTTCTGTATCAATAACCCTCGGTGGGCTTCGGAGCCACGTTTTGCTGCGGCAGCTGGGAATGTGACACTTTCTGCGGTGGCATATCGGTGGTTTGGACCTTAACTAGTTCATATTGCTGACCTGTAGCGATAGCGGGTGGCTGAAGCCATTCTCGTTTCGCAGAATCACAGAATCGTTCGGGTTGGAAGGTCCGTCTGGAGATCAGAGCCCCCTGCCAAGGCAGGGTCACCCGGAGCAGGTGACACAGGAACGCGTCCAGGTGGGTTTGAATGTCTGCAGAGAGAGAGAGAGACTCCACCGCTGCCTGGGCAGCCGTTCCGCTGCTCTGCCACCCTCAGTATGGACAGCTTCTTCCTCCTGCTGAGGCGAAACACCGTGTGTTTAAGTTTATGACCGTTACTCCTGATATATTTGGAGTGTATCTCCATTACTCCTGATATATTTGGAGTGTATCTCCGGAGCGGGCAGCTGTGGCGGGACCGCGTGGCCGCAGGGGCGGGCAGGGAACGTGTCCGTGCATGAGCTGGAGTGGGCGGGGCCGAGAGGCGCTGTTCGCTCTAATGGGGGACGGGGGCAGGTCTCAGTATGAGCAGCAGAGTGGCGCAGCGGAAGCGTGCTGGGCCCATAACCCAGAGGTCGATGGATCGAAACCATCCTCTGCTAGCACAAATGTTTTCATTTTCTCCGCTCGCTCTGCTGGTTGTTTTTGGGCGTGCGGGACAGGGGTGTGGCTGGTGCCGAAGACAGCTGTTTTTGCTGAAATCTTGGTGACCTGTAGTACTGCTGGTGAGAGTAAAGGACCGACCGAGAGCTGGGATGCCTACACCTTTTGTTAATTGCCATTTGAAGGTCCCGTGGAGTCACAGGATGGTTTCGGTTGGAAAGGACCCTTGAAGGCCATTTAGTCCCGCCCCCTGCCATGATTAGGGAAACACAAGCTGCTCAGAGTGCCGTCCAGCCTGGCTTTGAATGCTTCCAAGGGTGGGGCATCTGCCACCTCTCCGGGCTCGGCACCCTCGTGGTGCAGAGTTTCTTCTTTATCTTTCATAGGAAAGCTCCCTTACACACTAAAAGGTCACAAGGCCCCCCGGGAGCCTTCTCTGCTCCAAGATGAGCAGCCCCAGCTGTGTCAGCCTTTCCTCACAGACGAAGTGCTCCTCTGAGCAGCTTCATGTCTTCGTCTGGACCTGCTCCAGGAGATCCTTGTCTTTAATTAGGCACCAAAAGCTCCTTGCACACATTTGTAGTTTTTCCCTGTCTTGTCGGATTAAATGAAACATTGTGGCAATGCCAAACACAGGAAGCAGACTCTCAGTACAAAATGCAGGAAAACAAAATAAAAACACAAATGTGAAAATGTAGAAGTCAATGCATGTGGTATTGAAAGTCTGTATTTGGCCTCTGGATTACATGATCTGAGGAAAAAGGCTCTGTGAACTTAACGGCACAGCTCAGGGCTGTAGAATGTGATAAATAAACAGTGGAATTCTTACATGGAATGAGTACGTGCGGGATACATGGAACAAAGACAAGGCAGGGCTGTTGTTCAGAGCCGTGAAAATGATGGAATTGTGTTTCCCTGAGCTTGGCTCAGTAGGCGCGGCTCGGAAGGGCACATTGTGGGGTTCCATGGTGTAATGGTTAGCACTCTGGACTCTGAATCCAGCGATCCGAGTTCAAATCTCGGTGGAACCTGAAAGTTTTTGCCACAGACATAAATATTTCTTTTCTGCTCAGAACCACGGAAAGTGACTTCAAGGCGTTTTTCATGGACTGTTAGAACACCATAAACATCCCATTCCTCGTGGAATACATATCTAAAGTAGAAGAGTAACCAGTCAGAGAGTTTTCCTGTGTTTCCCCCAGCCCCTCTCACATCTATTATTTATTGCAGCCACGTTAGTACTTTCTTACAAATTATCTGGAGAATCTCACACATGTCACAGCATATTGTTTCTTTTTCTTTCTGTGCTTTGAATCTCCTGTGTGGAAACACAGTTGTGAATTCTGCATCAGCAAAGCTGGTGGCAGCTGCTGAGCTCTGCAGGGATGAGCTTTTGGGGTGTCTCTGACAGCAGTGTCCCCAGTGCTCATGTTTGCTTTCTGCCCTCCTTCCACCAGGGGTGACCTTATTGTGGTGCCCAGAGGGGTTCCTGGAGAGCTGGAGAGGACCTGGGACAAGGGATGGAGTGACAGGACAAGGGGGATGGCTTCACTCTGCCAGAGCGGGGATTAGATGGGAAATTGGGAAGGAATTCTTCCCTGTGAGGGTGGCACGGCCCTGGCACAGCGTGCCCAGAGGAACTCGATGCTCCCTCACTGTCAGCATTCAAGGCCAGGTTGGACGGGGCTCGGAGCAAGCTGGGATGGTGGAAGGTGTCCCTGGGTATTTTTAAGGTTCCTTTCCAACCATTCCACGATTCTGTAAAGACAAGGAATATCGCAGAAACTCGGAACAAACAGAATGTTTAGGTTGTGTTAGATTCCCGTGGGGCAGCCCGGGCACAAGGGCAGAGCGAGCGGCGATTCCCAGCGGGGTTTGTTCGCTCTGTATTAATTGTGGGGGCTGGCGGGGGCAGAGGCACCGCCCGGTTCTATGGTGTAATGGTCAGCACTCTGGACTTTGAATCCAGCGATCCGAGTTCAAATCTCGGTAGAACCTGCCCCCACGTCTCTCTTTTTCTGCTTCAGGGACAGCGGGGACGGCGCTGAAGCTGCAGCCCAGCCCAGGGGGTGTCCCCGACCTCAGCTGGCACTCTTCCCCTTTTTCTTCACTGCAACGAAACTGACGAAATATTTAATATAATTCCTGCTACTTTTTAATTAGATGTTTAGTTGTATTTTACTGCTGTTTTACATTAAGTACTTTTGCGGGGAGGCATTTACACTGTGGGAAATTTCATCAGGCAGATGTGCAGAATTTGGATGTTATTTTTCAGATACACCCAGCTACTCACTTGGAAAATAAGGGCAGAAACACAGTGTTTTGGGATAAACTGCATAATTTAAACAGATATTCCCTCTGCTTCGCTGACACAAACCCTCAGTAGCTATCTTTGATTTCCAGAGCAGCTAATGACATCTCACACCTTGGCTCCCCTCCTCCAAACCTGTCCTACGGGTCACTTGTTTACACAGCAACAGGAACAAGCCTGCTCTGATCAACAGCTCCTCCTCTGGCCAGGTAACCCTTGAAAAAACCACAGAACACCTTCAAATCGAGTTATTATTTAGTAGAAATCCAGGTCCCAACTGCTCAAAAGAACATATGGAAATGTTTGCTCAATTCATTAAATTTTCACACAACCTAGTGATGAAAAAAATCCCTTGTCTGTGTCAAAGCTGATTTTCATCCCTGTTGGATCAGGTCACACACAAAGATCTTTTCCTGTGCAGCAGTGTTCTAAGTTTCTCTGTCCAGTAACCTCAGCACAACCAGCTTCACACACCCCAGCACAAGAGCTTTAAAGCCACAGGGCTTGTCTGCCTTGCAAGGAATAGTGTATTAACTTACAGTTCTAGAGAGCAAATTACCATTCCTACAGCAATCTGGCAACCCCCTCCTTCATTTAGCAGAGTTTGAGGCGCAGCTGTAATCCAAAGTCCATAAAGTGCTGACACAGTATTGGTGGCCCCAGGCAAACCCCCTGGGTGGAACCAGGTGCACTAAAGGGTTAAACTTTGACATCATGGAACGACACGGAACCAGTGCAGAATTGAGTACTGAGATTTATTCACAATTCAAGGCCATGCTGCACTGGAAAACAAAGCACCAAAATCTGGGTACCTGAACATCATCCAGGTATGATCCTGCATTTGGAAATCGGCATTCCTCAGGGGCAGCACAGGTGCTGTGGCTGGGGGAACCCTCCTGCAGCAGGCAGAGGGACTCACAGCAGGCTGGAGAGCTTCAGGGCAAAGCACACAACCCCAAGAGTCCAGCACCTGACATGCTCCAGTCACAACATCCCAAGAGAATTTTATGAATTCATTCACTGTGTCCAGTTCCTTTCCCACAATCCCTCCAGTCTGTAATTTTCTAAAAATCCTTTTATCTCAGCACAAAATTCAAGGGGGAGGTAAAGCACTGTGGCTGTGGCCACGTCAGGAGCTTTTCCTGTTGCTGAAGAGGCAGTAGCAATAGAAATTACTATGGAATCAGGGAATCCAATCAGGGAATTTAATATGCTGTAATTTCAGAAGTGTGGCTACAAACACATATTGTTAACATTAATGGACTTTCCAACTGCAGATTCAAAAGCCAGAATCAAACCTTAGGCAAGTATTTCACTATGTATGAAGCTACAAGGTTTTCTGATATATGTTAAAATTTCAGTGAAAGCAGGTGAAGGGGGAAAGATGAAAAGGAAAGTTCTATCCTGTAAAACTGGCACTTTAAAGAAAAGGCCTTTAAAAAACTACAATATTTAACTCCAAAAGTCTTAAAAAACAAAAGCTGACACAAAAAAAAAAAAAAAACCAAACCCAAAAAGACAACTCTCAGTTACTCAGGTGACTAATTATAATACATTCTGTGCAGCCACTTGCCATGGTTTTGCATAGGAGACATTCAGGGAAGTGATGGAAAGGTTTGTTATGCAAAACCATAACACCACTACAAGCTCAGTAAGATGCCTTCCTTGCCTTTAAAAAGGAATTCTGCAGCAGACAAATCATCAACAGCTCTGCACTGTGACTACCTCAATAGGTTAAAAGCCTTGAGCAGATGGAAGAAATGGTGGATCCAGCTGAAACAGGATGTTTTGGACACTGAGCCAGTGGGAGCAGAGCAGACTGATTTCACCCACTGCCCTGCCCATTCCTGGGCTCCCCCAGCAGCACAGGCAGTGAGGCAAGCACTGGCCAAAGTGCCACCCAGCCCTGGGAGCATCCACCACCCTGCACACACAGTTCTGGGCTCTGCTTGCAGAACAGCAAGGCAGCTCCTGCGTAGTTTACTGAAGATTTCCTCAGAAAAGCAAACTGGTCTTGTACCATTTCACACATAAAAAAATAAGCACACTGTACAAAGAGCAGCAGAGATATAATTTAAACATGCATCCAGCTACAAACCATATATACAGAGAAGCAGGCCTATACAAACAGAACAGGACCACTTTGTTACATTACAATTCTGGTGGAGTTCTTGGAGGAAATCACAGATGAACAAAATGAGACTGAAGGAGGTGGATGTTGCTTCTGAAAGTAATCTGGTTTGAAATGTCACACAACACCCCCACCTTTCTCCAGCACACATCTATCACAGTTCCAGCACACACAGCTCTTCCCACGACTCCTGGACTCCCTTTCTGTACAGAGGTAGATTTCTGTCGATGTTCTGATATTGCACCATGGTAAGTATGGTTCTTATCACCAGGAACAACTTGCAAAGGCTAATTTATATAATTCATGGGCATAATCTCATTGTGGGCATTCAGGTAGTGCAGTAAATCAAATTCATTTGCACTTGAAAGAAAACCTCCCTCCAAGTGCAGTGGTTTGTTATTTAGGTAGAGGTCCAATGGAAAGCTGCAACTTTTAACAGCTTCACATTAAGAGAGCTGTTTCTTGTCAGCAGGGTGACACTTCAGTCTCTCTCCTTTTCAGCCTCCCTGGTCTAGCCAATGCCAGGTCTTGCCTTGCCTCCCCTGATGCTTCATCCCATTCCACTGTGTCCAGGTTAAATGTGCATTTTAAACACTCACAGGTTTTTGCAGGATTTCGTACTCATACAAGCAGTTGTAATATTGAAGAAATTTGCAAGATTGATTCAAACTGCATGAAATGGTTAAAAAAGCCCATCCACACTCAGGCTGCATAAGGAAAGCTAGAACTTTGCTAGCTTCAAACAGCCATTAATTGTGAACAGATCTGATGCTATCAGGAAAATCTGAAGAAGTCTGGCAGGAGTCTCCATTTCTTTTGTCCATCACATTCTTGAATAAATCTCGGACAACTGGGGAAGTTGCAGACAAGCTGAATGGCAGTACCACTTCACAATGTCTGTTAAATGAACCTCTATAGCATATTTATAAAAATAAGTGCATCAAAAATCATGATGCCAACATATTGTAACTCTGATGAGCTCACACGCATTGCTCAGTATTTTTTCTCAGAGGCACCCCAGGAAGTTATTTTTTGCAGAAGTCTTTCAACATGGAGACAAATGAAAGAACAATCTGAGCAAGTTCCACTCTCAGAGAGAAGCCAAAGCATGCAGCACCACTACTCCTGGCTGCAAGCTTGGCAGAAAAGTTACATGGGAAGAAAGTTCTCTTTTTGTACCAATCAACTTATTTGGAACAATTTTAAATGAACCATTTAGCATTAGCTTCCCAGACTGAGTTCCTGTGAAGCATTGGGACACTACATCAGTAAAAAATGGTGGCTAGTTTGGAACGGAGTATTTTTTGCTGAGTTATGGATACAAGGCTTATAAAAATTCATTACATCTCTCCATATACTCACTTGTCCTTTAAAAGGGCCTTTTCCTTACCAAGGTAAGCAAATCCCAAGTTACTTCACACCACCTGCATCAATACTGAAATTCCTGTTGACTGTTTTCCTGTGTTGACAGGGACTGCAGACCTAGAAGTAAAATCATCTCACCCTCTTGGAGGAGCCCCTTTCGTGCAGTGAACCTTCACTTCAGGGAGTAACTGGATCAGGAATTCCACTCCCTGTCCCTGGCAGAAAGGGTTTATGTACCTTGCAAGATCAGGCTTTAGAATGAAGAAATGCAGGATATGACAAACAGTAAAAGTTAAATGACAGTGGCAGGAACCAGGGCTTTTGGAGACTTGTCTGGTTTTGCAAAGCAATGTTTCTTCCCAAAAGAGCCCCCAGCTGGGCAGAGCCTCCCTGCACAGAGGGCTCCAGTGCTGCCCTGCAGCCCAGCACAGCTCTGCAGCGTTACCATTTGATGTCCAAGCTGCTGGTGCTTTGATTTACTGCACTGTAGGTGGTGTGCAGAGTGTCCTGGACCTTCCTGGAGTCCATGCCCTCCAGCCAGTCCTGGTACATCCTCTGCACGTGCAGGTTGGTTTCTGGCAGCCTGACAGGAATTGCAGTGTACACCTCTTCCATCTGGGCAAGCAGGGCTCTGTCTGGTTTGCCATCCTCAGTCTGGGCTTGGCCCTTTCCATTGAGGCACCCTTAGGGAAAAAAAAATTCAAAAGATGGAAGGTGATGGAGATTTGATATGAAAAGCAACTCTCTGTTAAATCAGAATTCTTTTTTCACACTTCTCTAAAGGAAGGGATTTTTTAAAACTTCTTCCCACGCTGTTACAATTTGTATTTACCTAAAGTGACTCCAATATCAACTTCATCTTAATGGAAATGAGGTTTCTATATCACAAATCTTTCTCTGCATTCTCCATGGTTTTATGATCCTAATTATGTTCCTTGTCTTTTCCTGCCCTTGACAACCACCATTTCAGAGCATCCTCTGAGGTTTGGCAGTGCAGTGCTGGCACTTATTTATAGGTCAGAAGAGAACAAATAACATCGTGACTAATTTTAGAAAACTCAATCATTTTTTGAGCCAACCCTGCACCTGTAATTGGTGTTTTGGACCCTTCAATAAACAGTGAGATTTTAGATTATTAAGAAGAGAATTAGGGAATGAAATTAAGTGCCTGCCTGTAAGACAGCTTTCCTTTGAGATTCAAGATACACGTGCAGAACAACTGTGGATCCACAATTATTTTTACCTCCTGGGCAGGCAAGGACTTCTACAAAATGGTAGAAAAACTTTCCTTTTTTCAGCTTCAGGACCATGTTTTGGATATTTCTGAAGCCATAAGCTGCAGCAAAACGCAGCACTGTCTCCCCATCCTTTTCAAGGGTAACTTCTTGAAAGTCCTTGTTCCTGTCAAGACACAGAGAGAACATTTTAACCCCCTGCCCTCCCAGAGGAACAATCCAACTGGGCCAGTTTGTATTCAGATGCTCCAAAGGGAGCAGAACAACTGTAACAGTGAGATCAAGGTGAACTCTTCCACTTTCTAAACTGAGTTAAGCAGAAGCTGGGGTGGAATCTTCATAATAGAATTCTACTTAATTTTAAGTGCAGGTAAGGTTTTGGTAAAACGAGCACCAGCAGGAGCTGCTTTACAGTGAGAGAGCTGCAGGTTTAGAGCAGGTTTAGAGCCTGTAACTGCCTCTCAGACCAGGCTAGCACTAACTGCTGCCACTGCAGCCCCACCCAAAGCAGGGAAGTTCCTGGGCTCCAGGAACCAGTTCCTTGCCAATGCCACAAGGCTCTCAGTGCCTAAGGGACATTTGGACAAAACCCTCAATAATATGCTTTAACTTTTGGTCAAAGTGCTCAGGCAGTTGGACCAAGTGACTGCTGTGGGTCCCTTCCAACTGGAAAAACCCTCTTCTGTTCTAGCTCACCATTCTGTGTAACAAGGATACAAAACTCCAACTTACTTTAGTGCTTTGTAGGTGATCTCCTTGACATCCACGCCAAAAAGCTCCTTTGCAGCATGTTTAAAAATGTGCTCCAGGTAACCATCAGATCTCTTCCCGTCGTGCCTCACTACATCTCCCTCCTTTAAGTCATCAAACCTTAGGGAACAACAAAATGGAAGGTCAGCTCCCCAAATTTCATTCTTTCACTTCAATGAAGTAGTGTGTTTCTCCTCTTCTCTGGCTCCCCCACCAAAAAGTGTTTTGTAGCACTGAGAACGTATTACACTTTTACTTATTACAGCTTGAAAAATGTAAATTACTCAGGACAGCAGTGAGATAATGATGAAAATAATTAATTAACAAAAAGATGCAGGGCTTTCCATGTTGAGAAATATCAAGGAAGAATGCACCTTCATCACAATCTGAAGATTTTGTTAACAACAAAATCTTTTACTGCTCAAGAGCTATTTTGGGAAGAAAATATTTAAATAAAATTATTTAAACAAATGGCCATTTTTTGTCTGTAAGAATACAAAACTACTTCAGATGTTACAAGTCTTTGCTGACAGTTCTCCTGCTTTAGGAGCTGTTTGTCACAGTCTGTAACACTGTGCCAATAAAATCACACCAAATTAGAGCTGTAACCAGGTTAGAACAGTGTACACTGAAAAGAAGTGCTACACTGTGGTTCAGGAGAGAAAATGGGAACTCATATCCCAGGGGCATCTCCTGGAAGTTCACTTCTCCCCAGTTAAAAGCAGCTCTGAAGAGCCCACAGTCACACAGCTCTTTTAATACCCAGCACTTTATCACAAATTGCTGCTGGGCTGGGGCCTGTTTTAAGAGCATGATTTCAAGTTGTTTAAATTTCTCTGCAAGATCTACTTTAAAGACCCCAGAAGAGCAAGAATTTACATCATTAGGTCTCACAGTTGAACCAGTATTTTCAGATTGGTCCTTTTAAAAATGAACATTATTTTCAAACATAAATTGAGGGCACTTGGCTTGTTCAGCATGGAGACTGAGGTCAGACATCTCCAGGGTCTGCAGCTGCTCCTGAGGGACAGCTCTGGTCCCTGCTCTGTGACAGAACCCAGGGAATGGCTGGAGCTGGGCCAGGAGAGGTTTGGGATGGATACAGGGAAAGGTTTTCCCCAGAGGGTGCTGGCACTGCCCAGCTCCCCAGGGAGGCCCAGGGATGTTGGGGTGTCTGTGCAGGGCCAGGGGCTGCACTGGGTGATCCTTGGGGACTCCTTCCTGCTCAGGATATTCTAAGATTCTCTAAACCGAGCTCATGAACCAGCACATTCTGAGTAACAGCTTGTCCTTTCACTGGACAGGCAGGTACAGAATTAAAGCCTGGCTCGTTGTGATTCTGATACAGAATTACATGACTGTCTCTCTGATTATTCCTACAGGAACTTCATTCATTCTCATTCTGTGTGACAGTCTCAGGTAGAAGCAATCAAAGGAGCTGCTCTACAAACACAGCTCTGAAAATATTCCCACTGACCCACTCAAAACTTCTCCCCTCTAGGTCCAAGCAGGATTCTAGCTGGAACTGAAAAGGATTTTTCAAAACTTCCAGAGCTTTCTGTTTTGTGCAAGACAGCACGTTTATTGCTCCACTAGCAGCCCTTTGGAAAGATCCCAAGGAACATCTGCCACAGCTGAACAAAGATCAGGGAGAGCAGCCTCTGTGACTAAGTCTGAGAATTAAACACCACACAGGCTGCTCCCTGAGCCAAGCACAAGGGATGGAAACAAAACCTCTCCAATGCTTTGTGTGCTTCTCATCTAAGCACAGTTCAGTCTGAGCTAATCTTGCAAAACTGACTGCTGTCCTCAGTATAAAAACCAATTAATTACCATTTCCTGAAAGGGTGCTGCTTCTAGCAATCCACATGAACATACTGGGGAGTGGAAATTTACTGCCAGGATGCTGCTGTGAAAGGGAGGGAGCCCAGAGCAGATGGTCAGCCCCAGGACTGTGTCAGCAGCTTTGTGGGAGCTGCTGGACAGGGCAGGTCAGGGTCACAAGGAGAGCTCTGAACAGGGCCAGCCACACTGACTAGCAGGGCTTGAACTTCATACAGTCACATCTATTATTACTGCAAATAATCAGTGTTTATCAATAAATAAATAAAACCAAATAAATAATAAGTAACCCTTAAATATCAATCAGGAGCTAATCAAGTCTTCAAGTCATATATTTTAAAAAAGTTACTTTAAAAAAAGTATTAGGGTCATTACCTCAAATTATCTGCTTTGTATTTAGACAGTACATGCAAATTTATATTATCTGTTTCATATTACTTTTATATATAGCAATGAACATCTAAGAGGATATTTCTGTGGGTTTGGCCACTGTGTAAGGGTGAAGCTGTGATATACTCAGGCTTTGATGCAGGTTTTTTTTTCTCTAAAAAGAAAAACATTCTTCTGAGCAGTTTTACATTTATGTTGTGTGGGAAATGGGTTTATACAAAATTCTCAAAGGTTGACAGAAAACTCACACAGTGTACATCTGTATGCAAACCTTAAAATAAGAAATACTGACCCAGACATTGTTAAGAGAGAAACTGAACTAAAAACAAGTTTCAAAAGATGACCTTACAAACAAGACTAGATACTTTAGAGAAATAAAACTATAGAAATACATTGTAGTAAGACCCACAAGGAGTAATTTTAGATGATTGACTTTAAGACATTTACAACATAGTGCAGCTAAAATTGATAAACCAAGAAATGCTTACAGTGCACTATAATTAAGAAACAGTTGGCTTCTGATTGTAATGGTGTGAATTATAACATCTGTATTGTCTCACCCTTCTCATGAGACTGAAAATAGAAGAAAAGTTTTAAAATGCCTCTCAGCTGCCCCATCTCTAAGTCAAAAAAGAGCTTAACCCAACCATGTTGAATATGCTCCAACATGTCATTTGTCATCCAAACAAGGAAGCAATCCACAACAAAACTACTTACAAACTATCTACAGCTACTTCAGTCACATCTTTCATTGACACATTTTTCTGTTCCATTATTTGGACAATTTCACCTGTAGGAAAACACATGACATTTTACTTTCATCACAAAGCCCAACACACTCAGTGCCTCTGTTTCAGAGACCAACATCCCAACACCTGCAGTGCTTTGTGTCACATTCTCCAGCTCCTCCTGCACTCACCTCCCTGCAGAGACTGAGAAGCCTGACACTTCCTGCCCCAAAGAAAAGGAGCCTTCAGCTTCCCAAACTCTGCTTAGATCCTCAGCCTTTCTGTTAGGCCAGGTCTGGAAATACCCAAACTGCCCTGCAGGATGTTTGGACACTAAGGCTAAAGACAAGATCCTCACCAGGAGGCAAGTGGTGCTATGAATGAGGAATAATTCCTAATAAAAGAATGACCATAAACAAGCCAGACAATTGTTTAAAATATGGATTTACATAACTTTTACCTTCTTTAACAGGCTGTCAAAATACCTGATTTTTAGATGAATAGCAACTTAGGAGGAAAGGATGTGTCACTCTGCCTTTCCTGTGCAGTGCCTGTAATACCAGGAGCACAACAATATGTACTAATTTTTAAAGCAGAAAAAAGCCAACCTTATGACTAAAGCAGACTTGAAAAAAGCAAACTCTGGCATAAAGGCTATTCTAAAAATGGTGATTCACTTATATATTTATAGATGATAAGTTTAAAAAAGTTAACCTGATGTCAGGACACAATCAACTTCTGCTGAATTATACAAGGCATTGTAGAAATCTTCCCTCAAGGCTTCCAGCTTTTTGTCATAACAAGGTGCCACGACTACATGGAAAATTTTATCAGGAGACAAATTCTGTGGAATACAGAAGGGAGCACATGTGAACTCCATGAAGAGCAAAAGAAAGCTTGAAGGATGACAGGGACAAAAATAGTGACATAAACCTCATGCAGGCAATACCAGGAATAAATCCCTACATTAAATCTGAACAATGTTCACACAGGTAATGATTTGGCAGAAGTCAGAAAGCATCAGCAACCAACTTCCAAAGTCTCCTGGCTGGACCAAATTCCCTCAGACCATGTTTTCTGCAGCTTTTTGACTGCCTTAGAAAGTGAATACAAGTCAGGAGTTCAGAGTTCTGGTTTCTGGCTGTCACCCACTCCCTTTCACCCAGAGCAAGCCCTTCAGAATTTGTCTGTCCATGTGCAGACAGCAACCCTTCCCTCCAGAACGTGCCTGTGGCTCCTTTCACATATGGTATGTAAAGAACAGCAATTTTTTCAACATACAAAACTGAGGAGATAAAAAGATTGGTTCCAAGGACACAATGCTTCTATTGAGCTCATACAACAGGGCAATTTCCACATTATTCTCCTCCACTCCTGTAGTGGCTGTGCTGTAGAACTACACAGGCAGCATTTCACACAAAAACCCTTTAAGTGCTATGGATTTAACTTTACCCATAAATATCTAAATCCTTGCACTGGGAGTGCAAGGACTGCTGCCAGCTCACACTGCACTGCATGAAATGAGGTGCTTTGTACATTCTTCTCATCATGGGCACTTGTACAGCACAAAGCACCATTTCTTCTTCAAGTAAAGGACAAATATAATACACTAGATCTGTATCTCAGTATTAAAGCCCATCTTCTCTCTAATGGTAAAAATAAATCAGAATTACTTACCTGCTGCCTGGCAAAGTAGCCCTTCACTAGGGAGCCCATGATCTGCTGAGGAGACTTTGCAGTGCAGATGTGAGAGGTCACCAGGTTGGTGAGTACCCTTTCAGCATAACGGATCCAGCCTGGAACCACCAGAAAATTACAGGTACAGAGGAGTGAGCCATGAGCACAGCAAGTGGCAGCAGTCACACAGCACATCCTGAAAATGATGACACCTTCACAACAGGGAGGAGATGTCTGTGTAGGCTGGAAGCCTCACCTTGGGAGCCACAGGAAACCTCAGGGCTCTGTTAATAATGCTTTAGTCAATAATTCACTGTGCCATGAATTCTAGACCAAGGTCCGCTGTGAACTTCGTGACCTGTTACCCCTTCCTCATGCACAGATTTAACAAAGCAGAAAGAACAAGACCCCAGCTAACAGAAATTTGACCTTCTAGACCTCAGCTCTTGGATCACCACATTCTACAACAAATGCACTGTCTGGCTGCTTAACTGCAGCCTGGTGTTTCCTGAGATTTAATATCCCTGCTCCCCTAGAACAGAAGAGTCACATGAAAGCATTATTACAAGATGCACATGGATTAAGCCTAGGAAAAAATGGCTTTTTTTACTATTGTTAGAGTAGCCACACCTTCAGAAACACCCCCACACTCACAGGAACCCCTGAAATCTCTCAGTATGCAACATCTGTCCTCAGTTCCTCAGGAACCCCCTCTCTCACCAGACCCCTTCAGCATTCCAGCTGGGGATACCCACAGCACCCCAACATCCAGAGCTGTTGTATTATTCCCTAGTAAATGAACAAATCAAGGTATGTAGGGGGTGCAGTTCTTTTTTAGGCTCTGTAGCTCTTAATGAAAAGCCCAGAATCCTTCACAGCAAGGGTTTGGAGCTTTATTCACCTACACTGTGCAGCAGTTAGGCCCACCCTTCAAGGCAGGTGTGTTGCTTTTGGTGCTAAGGAATGATGAAGAAAAACCATGGTTTGTCTTCATGCAAATTAGTGATTACATAAAAGAGAGAAACTGCTGTGCAGTACACGCTGCCCAGGAAGGGGAAAACCTGGAGGTTAACTTTTAAGCTTGAAATTAGCACTCATGTAAAAACACCTGGTGCTGCTTAAGTCAGAACAATACCACAAATGCCAGCAGCAGCACAAAACTGGGATGCAAAGCAGTGCTCAGATGATTTGTCTTTCTGTAGCAGAGAAATCGTTTTCCCAGTGTAGTAAGACTTTACTGATGAAAATGAGAAGATGCTAAGTATTGGGGAAACCCAAGGATCCTCCAGCTGTTTAAATATTCCCAATTCTTGTTATGCACAGACTTCAAGCTGGTTTCCATAGAAAACCTCAAAGGCACAAATCATCTTCAACAAGCATTCATTTCTGCTGTAGGAAAAGCTGAGGACCATGGGTTTATCTATTAGGACTGTACTGAATTGCAAGACTGAACTGGAAGTTTGCCTAATATCCACCTTCAACTGGGACTTCAAATCCAAGACATTACCTACAAAAAAGCTGAATTTATTGGTGCTTGGTAAAAATCTGTATTAGCATATTCTGCATGATAGGTACATCCTGTTGCTTAAATGGCTTTAGTCTCTATTCTGTCCCAATAGAACAAAAACTGCTTCAAACAAAACAAGGACAGTTTTTAGAACACTTTTACTCACCATTAATCACCCTAGCACTCCTGCTATGAGGCTGGTTCATATAATTGGAATATTTTTGATATTGTAGTCATGACCTATAAGGAAATTTCACTACATCCCAGGAGATTTCTGACAGGTATTGTCTGAAGCAATTCCTTAAATAGTTTCTGTCCTTGCAGTGGATGGAACAAGTGTCTTACAGCTGCAGCTCCCACAGATCATTAGTCTCATTAGTCACTGGCTAATTGTACAGGCAGCCTGGGTGAGTGAGCATCCATCTGCACTCCACACACACACACACTGCTGTTTGTGCCCCCACCACAGGGCTGAACTGCAGGGAAAGCCTCAGACACCCCATCCTTATGTCAGGGAACACCAGCACTCATCCACACCTACACCTTGATAAATTCATGGGGATCCTTGGCCATTTGCTGGCTTCTGTTGCCATGAAAGAGCAAGAAAGCATTACAAATTACCACATCAATTCCTGCAGCTGTATCTCAGAACTTTATTTTTGGTGGTTTCTTGTGAGATCATGAAGATGCATGTATGCATCTGCAGGAAATGCAAAAAAACTAAGCAAACTTTTGCTACTGTAAAACCCCATTCCTGGAAAAGAAAACTGACTGGGACAAAAGCATCAGAATCCTCAATACTTATGATCTTCCTGCTGCAAGTCTGCCCCACTGGCTTTTCTGGGAGGACACAGAGGCTGGCAGTGCCTTAAAAACACCAGATTTTCCAGAGCAAGTACTTCATGTTCCTCACCAGTACATTAGTACTTCATGTACATTAAGGAAGGGAACTGATTCTTTTGAGTTATTACATATACTATCAGTAGTAACACTGCTGTTCTTTCAACAGGAAAACCCAAAGACGAGCTCACTTTCTCCCCAGAGAGCAGCAGGAGGTGCACAATTAAGACAGGGACAAGAGCACAGCTTTTCTCAGGGTCTGGACTAAGCAGGCTCTGCTCTTTGCTCATGGTAGGTGTCACACCCCAGCCTGCTGCAGAGGGTGATAGGTCTGTGCAAAGTCACACACCAAGATAAAAAAGAGTAAAGCATTTATACTCGAGTTCACATTGACCTTGCACCTACAGAGCTGTATAAAAACCATTTTGTGCTAAATACACCCAGTAAACAACATTTCTGGGACAAATTTATGTAATGTGGGGGTAGAAAGAGGAAGGAGAAAAATGAACAGAAAATGCACACAGACAAATAAGGACAGGAAACACAGTGAACTGCCTCATTTGTACAATGACTAATCAGGATTTTTGCTTTCTCTAATTGCTGACAAAGAAACATACCATGTTTTCAAAATGGATTTACAGTGATATTCTGGGTTAGTTTCCCAGAAATGGAAAGCACCCATGCTTCTGTTACCACCTCTATCACAGCAGAGAGCTGACACCAAAACCAGCACTGGCACCAAAAACTCTCTCGTGCAGACCACACAAGGACAAGGAAAGTGCTCCATTAACTATTTTAAAGTATTTCCACTGAGAGCAGCAGACAATCTGAGCTCTGTTTCCAGATGAAACTAATTAAAATTACCTCAGAAATTCTAAAAGAAATCCTCATGTTTTGAATTTTACCTAAAGCAAATACAAGACAAGAAAATGAAGTAATGGGGGTGTTTCAGCTGCACAGGTTTTACATGAAAAAAAGCAATATATGATATGTCTGCTCCTGAAGATAAGAGGTTACACTAAGATAACAGTAACAGAAAAGAGAAATGTTTTTAACATGTATGTAGTAGTTAAAGCATAACCCATATATTTCCACTACAAAATACACAGAACAAACAAAAACACAAGTATAATTCAAACAGCAGTATTTAAACTTCAAATCAATGACAACAGCAGATTCTGGGGATCACTGCAACTCATGATCACTAACATTTCTTCAATAAATGCAATCCACTTGAGTTATTTCAAAGCTAGCAAGAAGTATTTTGGTATTTTTATCAGCCTTTTGAAAAGCAACACTATGAACTTTAGGATGGAGTTGATGAGGGTGTTAGGCAAAGGAGTTACTTCTAACTCCTTTTTGATACTTCTTTTTTAGGTATGTGACTTTTTACTTGAAAAGGTGCTGTGCTAACAATGGAAAAAGTAGGCAGTGACTGCATGTTCTGCATCCTTTCAGCTGGTGCAAGTGCAGGTTCTGCTCATAACAGATCATGTTTTCAGGTGCAAGGTTCTCAGAAGTGAGACATTCAGGGAGTCAAGTCTGTGACATTTCATGTGAGAATTACTTTCCAGGTGTCAGACATATCCATCTCACAGTCATCACAAGGAATGTCTCTTGCTACTTTCCTCTAGGCTTAAGTGGCAAGTTCTAAACTCTGCTTAAGGTAACAGAGGTTGTGGTTTAATTCTATCAAAGTTCCTTTAAGATTCTTTTCTATGAGGAAATGCCCAGTTAAACTTTGTGGTCTGAACACACAAGAAGCACCCACTAAACTCCTCCATTCCAGTTCTGATTCTCAATTCCAAGCACTGAAATGCACTCAGATCACCAGTGATGCTGGGAACAAACACTGTGTGCTTGGTGTCCCTCAAAAGCAAATCAAAAATGCTCTAAGTTATGTAAGGCTCCCAGAGGAAGCCACCCTTTCCTCAGCTCCTTGGTAGTTCCAGTTTGAAGGGCAGGAAGGGTGGATAAATCAGTTCTCACCAGGGCAAGCAGAGGCAAACATTGGTAAGGCATGTTCCTCCTGGTTCCTCCGTTGGTAGCGCTGCACAAATTCCCTCTGGCTCTCCAGGATACTGAAATCTGCAGCTATAGTGGTGTCAAACACATAATGCACCCCTAGGGAAGCAAGCAGAAACAGCACTAGAATGTTTTCCACCTCACAAACCCCTTTCCAAGTTCCAGGCCCATGAAAAATCTTGAAGGATCAACAGGTATGTTCCTTCCCTTCTGTACATTTTCACAAACAGCAGTCATAAATAAAAGCCATACACTGCAAAAACATCTTCTACATCCTGAGTTTAAAAGGACCACCAAGAGGCTAATGCTGCCAGCAGCCCTGCAAACATTTCTCTGCTTCCTTCTGAGCACTTTGCATCTCTCACTTTTGGATCCTGCTCAACTGAAGAGCATGTCACGACTCCTGGGTGATACGCAGTGACTCTTGCAAAGAAATGCTCTTTTCAAGACATGCTGAAGTCACAAAAAATCATATCCAGCTAAGAGGCATATCTGCCATTGCTCAAGTTGTTTGCAGAGCTACAGGAGCATATCACCAACAGAGCAGAGACCTGCTGGCTGCTCATTTGGCAGCACACTCCCCATGAGCCTACGTAGCACTGAGCACATCCCCGCAGAAGTGAGGGTAGATAATGAATGCATTCCAGGAAAACTGGGGCCCACCAGAGCTCAGGAATGCTTTGAGATGAAGAATATACACTGGCTACACAGATGCATCAGAAAAAAACATGAAAAATGAATATATATAGATACAGATAGAAGGAAACAGTTTATGGGTTTATTACTGTCCTTTTTCTTTCTTCAAGTAAATTTTAAAAATTGCAAACTTACAAGGAAAGTGGCTTTTGCTTTTTATCTAAAACTATGTATATAATGACCAAAGGAAATACAGCTTTAACATAAAATAGGCAAATACAACAGTTCTTGTAATTTCAAGTTACAGGAAAAAAACAGAACTGAGAACCTCCTAGAGATACAATGTCTCAAAAGGACTGAAAGGAACTTAGAATAAGAATTACCTTCTCCCTCAAGTTTTACTATAATGGGATGCTTGTGACTAAGCCCTCCCTGATTTCTTGGTAGCCAAGGTTTTGGAGGCAGCTCCACAATGTCCTTCTGTTCTGTGACCTTTCCTGGGAGCAGGGAATGTCCCCAGTCTGTTTCTCACAGTGCTCTATGTGGCACTGGTGCCTGGCTGGAACCTCACAGAGCGTGGAGTCCAAACTCTGAACGAGGTTGTGCAAGGGCACTTTAGGACTGTTTAACAAAATACCATGGAATGGAATCCCACCACTGGTTTTGCTCAGGAGGAACACTAAAGGTCATCCAGTTCCACCCCTGCCATGGGCAGAGCCACCTTCCCCTGTCCCAGGTGCTCCCAGCCCTGTCCAGCCTGGCCTTGGGCACTGCCAGGGATCCAGGGGCAGCCCCAGCTGCTCTGTGCCAGGGCCTCCCTGCCCCTCATTTCTTCCTATTTAATCTAACCCTGCCCTGTTTCACTCCATGCCCTTGTCAGAAACCCTCTCCAGCTCTCTTGCAGCCCCTTCAGGTACTGGAAGGCTGCTGAGAAAGCAAAACCAACCAAAATGATCCCTCCTTTTCTGCTTCACCACCATGACAAATGCAAACTTACCAAGACTTTTGAGGAAACCACAGAGTCTCTTGGCTGCTTCATTCACAGAGAGACTGAATTTAGCAGCAAAATAAGGCAATGACTGAGGGCATAGAGACACTGCCAACACTTTGTGTTTTGAGGTATCACATTTCTGGTAAGTAAAACAAAGAGGGGAAAAAAAAAAAAGTCATTAAAACAGGGTAAGGCTCCTCGCTTTCCCTTCCTTTCCCATTCCTGGAGTTATTCCTTAGAGTCTCAATGCTTCAGTGGGCCACATCATTAAAAACCCTGTGAAACAACCCTCAAGTTGCAGCAGAACAGGATGTTCCTCTGATCCTGACATTGTTCATCCCCAGTCATCTGCAGATGTTTCTTTTCTAGAACTCAGGGGAAATCTATCCCTGTGGTTGGATTCCAGGTGGCCTAAGGAAAGTTAAGGGACATTCAGCACCTCTGATGTTCTAGTAGGATGAAATATTCTAGCAAATAGGAAAAGAGCTGTATGTTTAAACATTTACAAAGAATGTTTACAGAAGCAGGGGCATTCAAAGCTGTAACTACAACCCAGCTAATTACACATCTGATTTTTTGTTAAGGCTCCTGTGCATTTACTGCAGTTGTTGAGGGAAAGTGGCAAGATGGGACTCTCAACAAATCAGCATTTGTAGGCACTGAGGAATCCTATGGAAGTACCCAGTGTATGGTGTGGAACTGTGCAGCTCTAATGATCGTGGCCTTTAGCTGAAGATTAATCTTGTGTTCTAGCTGGGACATTGTCCACACCAGTGGAACCCCTGGAAGACAAAGCAGGACTGCTACAGACAAGTGTCATCACCCTGCAAAGGCCAGAGCCCTCAGTCTGTACTGACCCAAATGTGGACAGCAACCCTTCAAGGAGAGCTCCTGACTCAGAGCTCATGACTGCCCCTTGCCTGTGTTTGCACCCCTGGAGCTGTGATGAAGGTACCTGACTGCCTTGCTGTTGTAGGATCCAGGCCCTCTTAACAGGACCCACATGACCCAAAAGATGATTTTCCCCCCATTCTCTTCTAATTTTCTTGCAAATGACAACATCATTCTGTGTGGACAGTTTAAACTCCTAAGAAATGTAAGTACTATGTAATGAATCCATATTTATGGCACACATGTATAGATCAAGAAGTTTCAATCCTAGTAGCTTTGCACATAAGTCTGGAGCAGAACTAAAATAATTAATACCAGGTTCTAAAGATGTGAGCACTACACACAGCAACTAACTCCTAGAAAAAACAGAACTCAGCAGAAAATAAAACAGCAATAGAACACTTACAAGGTTTGCTAAGAATACGGAGAAAATGTAGTCAGGTTGAATATATATTAAAAAGAATTCTAATTTCAAGAACAGGTCTTTACAGGTTTGTATAATGTGGGTATATTAGCACCAAAGCCACCCAGAACAGTCCTAGCAGTGAAGGTATGAATATCTATAAACACTGAACTACAGAATAATTTGTTAGTGCAGTAATGAAATCATCACATTGTCAATAAATTTTCCTTCTGCAGGTGCAGAAACTTTCCTCTGGTGTTTACATTAAGTGCTGTGGCCTTGCAACTCCAGTACAAAATTATTTTAAGTACTTTTAACGTTTTTGTTGCCTGACTTCCTCTTTGGAAATAGCATATCCTGACAAATCTTCACATTATCTGACTTGGGAAACCAAGCTGCTTAGTCATTGTGTAACTGCCTCCTCCTCACAGAAAACAGTGGGGTATTGTTTGGGTCACTTTACCTTATTAAGGTTGAGAACACGAAAGAATTCCTTCTGATTCTGTTGGAAAACTCTGGCTCCTTCTTCCAATGTCATGCAACTGTCACAAGCTAGGCAGTCGCTAAGGAGTATTTTAGCATTAGCCAATGTATCAAACTCATTTTTCTGGGGCAAAAAAAAGAAGTAAACAAGTATTTAATAATGATCAAATGAGTTTCAACATCTCCGCAATGAGCCAGATGAAAAGCAAACACAGTATCCCTGTTTGGTTTAAAGCAGGACAATCCACAACACTTGCATAAGATCCAAGATTATTTACAGGTAAACAAAATAACATGTTCCATCCCAGTCATAGCTCTGCTCCTCCTATTACTGTGAAACTGCAAAATGTTTAAGTGTAAACAAAACCCTAAATTTAGCCCCTAGTCCATATGCTAGTAACTTAATTTGCACTGTGCTTCAGAGCTGACAGTCCCCATCAAATCACCAAGCAACTGAGAAAACTTTCCCTTGAACTGTTAAAGCTCTTGAACCAGATGTCCCTCTAACAGCAAGGTGGCTTAGGCTTCATAACACGAGGTAAAACAAAGAGAACACAGTCCTGCTATTGCACTGAACATATTCTGTGAGATCAAGAGTTTCACATTCCCACCTACAACACTACCTCAGCTCACCTGAGAAAAAGGAAAACTTGGATATAAAGAATAAGCACATATTTTGTCCACTTGTACAATCAAAACTCTTCTTCTTATAAGTTCTGTCTCTGTTCTGAAGACTTGATATCAAGAGATTTGGCATTCCAAATTTTTAGAACTTAGAATTTCTGTTTTGTGTTTGCATTGTAAGGGCTTTTATTGCACCTTTTTATAAGGTTTTTGATTCACATATTAAGGGATGTCTACAAGACCTCATAATTGTTTTCAATTGCTTGTTGTTTATTGTTATACTTAGTTGAAAGTTGTCTCCTTATAACCTTCTTTGGAGGGCACAAAAGAATACAGAGTCTAATACAGCTTTTAGAAGGAACATTACCTCTTCAGAGCCATCATTTGAACTCAATGCATCAACAGATGCACTTTGTGTATCATCATTTTTCTGTTTTTTACTGCATTCCTGAAACAAAACATAAAATGCGTGGATTATGCAAAGCCTGTTCACCGTTCTGTAAGAACACTTTTGCAGAACTGTCATTAACCAGTTAACTGCCATTAACAGTTCATGCCATTAACCACTGATAGAGTTATTTACAGTGTTCTGGAACACATGCAAAACCCTGCGTTCAAAGTGCCATTGCTACGATGGAAACAATTTCCCCGGAATTCCCCTGCTCCATGGCTTTGAGAGCTCTGGGCGGTGTGCTGACGCGAGGGGCTGCCCCGGGCAGGCACGGCGGAGTGGAGCGCACGGGCACGGCCACACGCGGGCGACAAGGCGCCCGGGGCTCCCCGGGAGCTGTCACGGTGAGGACGCGGAGCTCGGTGACCTTGGGGCCGGCGGCCAGCGCCGCTCGCCCCGCCGGGGCTGCCGGACGAGGCCGTCCCGCGGGCAGCATCCCCCGGTGCCCGAGGCGGTGTGCCCGCACGCCGAGGGGCGGGCAGGGCCCGGCCGGGCACTCACCTTTTTGGTGCAGTTCTCGCACTTCATTTGCGGCGCGGCCGGCGCAGCCCGGCCCTGGCGCGGCTGCCGCGCGGTCCTGGCCGCCGGGGCTGCGGGACAGGAGAGAGCGGCGCGGGAGGTGAGAGCCGCACGAGCAGCGCCAGCCCGACCCCGGTGCCCTCCCTCCCGTCCCCGCCGCCCTTTGTTGCCGCGCCCGCCCCGCCGGGCGGTCCCGGGGCGGGGGCGGCCCCGCCGCGCTCACGTGTCCCGCAATTCCCTCGCCCGGAATTACCCCGCAAACGCCGCCGGCCCCCGGCGCTGCGGCCGGCACCGAGGGGCCCCGGAGGACACGCGGGGCGGGCAGCGCTGGCCGACCCCGCGGGGAAGGTGCCCCCGCAGCACGGCCCTGGCCCCGCACGGGGAGCGGAGCCGCCGCACCCCCGGCTCTTCAGAGCCCCCCGCACCGAGGTTACGGGAGGACGGGCGGGCACGACCCGCAGCTCATCAGCTCCACCGGGAAAAAAAATAACGACAGGCGAAACCCCGCCGAAAGCCCCAGTGCAGCCTGTCGGGGGGCAGCGGGGCGCAGCGCCGGTCCCGTACCTGCCGCCGGGGCTGTGCCTGTGGCCGCAGAGCGGGCGGGGCGGCACCGCCTCCTCCGCCGCCTCCCCGGCCGCGCCCGCCGGGCTCATTGCGGACCTGCGCCGCCGCACGTACGCGGAGGGACGCCCCCATCCCGGTCCCCAGCCGCCCGGGACCCCCGGGCCGCACTGATCCGCCACGCCTGCCCTCCGCGCCCGGCTCTGCCCGAGGCTTCGCCGCTTCTCTGGAGCGTCCCTGCGTATTTTTTCACAACGCGCTCCTCTGTTATATCGTACAAAGGGTTTTTTCCCCCCTCGATTTTTGCTTTTTCCTGATGGTTTTAAAGTGAAATGACACTCTGCGAGTTACTAAATACAGCATCATCACCATTTTATTTAACCAATATACTGGATTTCCCATTCCTGTAACAAAACACAAGTACCAGCAATGCTGTTCCCAGGCAGGAATCACAAATCCTCATGAACAGGATTATTAAACAGACATCAGCCTTCCACAGTCTCAAAGGCCCCGGAGTATTAATCAAGATGCTTATGATTTCTTGTCTTTCTGAATCTCAGGTTGTAGGATTTAGTCAGAAAGGTTCGATCAACATTTTGCTCCATTTTTAACCCCCGGCCATATGAACACACATGTACACGCAAACGCCTACGGCTACACAGAGAAGTTTTTCAAGTGTAAAATGACATTTTATAAACTAAACCACAGAACTTCCGAAAAACATGCAATTTCCTGCCTAAACTGCAACTCTTCTATAACACTGGGTAAATCCCCTCCTCTTACAGTCACCTCTAATGCTTCAAGCCACAGATGGTTTTTGAGCACAGGGGCTGGAGACAGGGACAGCTAGAGAGGTTTGTTACCCAAACCCACAACTTTAAACACTTGTTCCATGTTAAGGATACTAAAGATAACCCCAGAGAAGAATGCTGTGCTTTTTTTATTTTTTAATTTGCAGACTATAGGTGAGTTATCACCGAGGTCAGAGAAATCAAGAATTCCTTAGCTTAACCATGATGAAAGCAAACAGAAATGTTTTCATACTTACCACTTAAAGAAAAGTAAGCTGATGCTGCTTTACATATACCCTGGAAAAATATCACTAATCCTGGCTTGAGGTAAAAACTGTAATAGCTTTGGTAATAATTTTCTGTGCCTCTGCTCTCTTCATTCAAATGCTCTAACATTTTATATTAGCATATTAGCCCAAGCTTTTTAAAAGCACCACAACCACTCCTGAGCAATTCCTATGTGATCTAAGAATTTGCATTTCCTACAGACTTGCTGGAATGCAGCATTATCTGACATCTTTTTTGTTCCTGTGGATGAGTATTTTCATACAAGAAAAGCACCTTATTCCACTACGATACAACAGCTATAGCTTCATTAACCTATAAGGTGATAGATGAAAAGTTCTAAATTAAAAATGTGGTGAGATTTACACTTAAAGAAACAGCTAACATCTTCCTGTTTCACACTCTGATTATACTTACATTTATTATCCAAAACTAGTGATTCTTCAAAAGACATGTCAGTTTTTGATATTTCTGTAACTACAGATAATATTTAAAATATTTTTTATTTCACAGAATCACAGAGCAGTTTGGGTTGGAATGGACCTTTGAAGGTCATCCAGTCCAAACTCCTCTTCCTCTAGACCAGGTTGCCCCAAGCCCCATCCAGCCTGGCCTTGAATGTTTCCAGGGATGGGAATCTCTGGTCAATTAAGTCATCTGTTAACAGGATTGGATTAAACACATTCTTCTGCACATCATCAAAGGGCAGGAGACTAAACTTCCCCCCATATTTCTTGTATGAAAAACAGAGAACTGCATAGAAATGGAAGCATTTTGCAAGAATATTGAGGACATCTTAGGTACATACATTAAGTATCCCTATTTCATCCTTCATTTTAGGAATACTTGGATTTAATTTATTTCTATTTAAAAATGCAAACAAAAAGAGCTAAAACTTACAGAAACTGAAGAATGTGCAAGGAATCTCTGTTTCAGTGCACAGTATAAGATTATATTTGTGAAATCATTAGATAATTAGATGTCTCATTTATTTTATTGCCAAGAGCGCTCTGTGCTTTCCATTAACTATGGATGCCATTTTCCCACAGAACAGTGGATCTTTGATCAAGCCTCACAGTATGCCTGATAACCTGAGACACTGAGCACTATCCTGCTTTCATCTGGGGAGGTGACACCACCTTTGCAGGGCTGCTTCCCAAAAGCCTCACTCTCTAAAAGCTTTCCTATGCCAGCGCTTAAAGGCTTCTTTTATGGCCACTGTTGATGTATTTGGCCTCCATGTAACATTCATCCCTGCACCTGAAGCATTTGCACCCTAATGAAATGGAGAAATAAGAATCTCCCTGTGAAAACAAACAACTGCAAGTGTTACAGGCTTTGCATCGGTGCTGCAGGGCAGTGCCAGCTGTAAATGCCCCCTTGCCACCGTGACAGCACATGCCACTCCCCAGCTGTCAGAATTGGGCAATAAATCTTGGCTACAGCTGGTGGACATGTATTCCCTGAAATCTGTGCTCTGCAGGCTGCACACACACTGTTCCCACCGAGGTCAGGGGCAGCACAGAGAGCTCCTCCTGCGGGATGAGCTCATTGCTAACAGGACTCGCAGCCAATTCTCCAGCCAAAGCGTTTGGTGGCTGCTTCCAAGCAAGCACTCTGGGAATTTATCCTGGCATGTCAGTGAGATCACATGCCTATTGCATAGCTGAATTCCTGAGTTTAAGACCTTAGGGAGGAAAAATAAATACAAGGAGTTAGAAAAGAATATTTAGGGAAATGGTCTGAAATAGGAAAAAGCACCAGAATTACAGACATGTCAAACTAATTAAAAATAAAGGCCAGTTCTATTCTATTTACATGTTCTTGAGTTTAGGTTAATGACTTAAATGTTGAAAGTGTGTTTACTACACAAATAGAACATAAACACTTCCACAGAATATGTTTTTACATTGTTGAGGAAGAAGTCTACAAATAGTCAATCACATATTCCTGAATTGTTTATTTTGGAAAATAGTTTTTGTTTCTGCAGCAGTGGTTTGAAATTCATGCTGTTCTTTAGGTTTAGGATCAGGTTTCCAAAATGTTCCTTCTTCCTTTTTCTATTGATAGGCATAACAGCACTCACCTACTTTAAAGAGCTGATGTAAAATCCCCTAATTTTAGAAAAAATGCTGTAGGAATCATTAATGGATAGCAGAAGCTTACAAGGATCCTTGCCATATTTATTTTGATTGTGCATGTATGTGGTATTTCCCATGGTTGAAAAAATTTCTCTGTAACTCCGTAATTAAATTAAGTCAAATCAGGTTATCCTAGTGTGACCTTTGAAGAACTGCAGAAGTAGAGAGTTGCTGATATTTTTGCAGTTAGTAACACAATAATAAAACATATGCTGTGTGCTTTATGCTGAGTGGAGGGACAGATGAATTTCTTACTTATTTCACTCTGCTCTACACACAAGAAACCTTTTGTCTTATATCAATCAAAACAGCTTAACATTTGGTTTCCAGAGAAACCAGTTGCTTATAAAAACTGATTGACAGCTAATTAGACATAAATTTCTTCCCAGAAGACTCAGTCAGCTGCTTGTTTGGGTTGAGCACACGTGATACTTATTACTTCCTATTTTTCATCCAAATCCAGCAGCTGGTACCTTGTGACTCACGAGCAGGCCAATTCATTCTTGCAGTTCCTCACTGCCTTTTCCCATTAACACTCTTACACAAAAACTGCACATCAGCTGGTATTTTCCAGTACTTACACTTAAATGTCTGTACCATGAACTCTGGGGTGTTTTTTCCCTATCTTCACTCTGGAATGTTATGAAAGTCACTGGTCAAAATCTCAATTTGCCAGAATAGTGTTGAGAACAGCTAAACAAACTTCTATCATCTCATGGTCCTGAGCAAACACTCCAGAATATATTCATGTTTGGAAAAAAGCCAAAATTAGAGGATTTCATCCAGGAAGGACAATTCTGTGCAACTGAGAGAGGACCAAATATCATGTAGATGAAGTCACACACTGACTTAGAATAATTTAAGAAGTTAAGTTAAACTACAGATGTCTGCACTTCACCCATCCTGCCTGACATAAGCAGTTGCTCTAATGGATTGAACAGGAACAGCTCTCCCATGTGAATGATGTTTGACTGAAACATGAAAGATTTTCCAAATGCAGCCTATTTGTCCACAACAGGAAAATTACTCTATATTTCAAGCGAATTAGAAACTTTCCTCCCCAAATAACAGATTTTCAAACCCAAGCCTTCAGCTGACATAAAATTCAGAAAACTCATGACATCAATGTTAGACCTGTAAGATTATCACTGATATTTCTGCTTTGCAAATATAAGTGATGTCCAGGTGTTAGAAAAAACAAGTTATTTGTTGGTGAAATTGCCTTGTTAAAGTCTAGGACTTGATAATGCTTTAATGATCTCAGACCTAGCAGAGGCTACAAAGTCTGAGAAAAAAGGATGCCCACTGGCAGTGGACACAAAGAATGCAGAATTTAGGGGCCATATGGCAAGAACTCCCAATACGAGGAAGAAACAAATGAAGCCAACTCAGCAACTGAAATCAGCTCCAACTGGGTAAAAGGGAATTCTAGCAGGTGGAATCTGCAACCACTGACACAAGAAACCCACCTACAAGAAGGAAAGACTGAGCATGCAGACTTAGTAGCATGTCAAGTGAATCATAAACCAATAGAAGGCAGAATACTAATTATTAAGAGAACTATGTAACTTGTAGGCAGTGAGCAGTAATGTCTTTATTTGCTAAAATGTAGTTAAAAGCTTTGGTGTGCTTGATCTGTGGAAACGTCCACCTTGCATCCTGTGCAGAATAAACAACATCTCCTTCCTAAAGGAAACTCTGTGTTTAGAGAGCTCCTAAAATGGGCAGCACCTCTCTGCAGCCCTTCCAAAGCCACCTGGACGCGTTCGAGGTGTGTCAGCAGGGGTCGGACTGAGCGATCTCCAGAGGCTCCTTCCAACCCCAAGTGTTGTCATTCTGCCAGAGCCGAGGCACAGCACCAGCGCTTTTGTAGCAGTGCTGCCATTGAGAACCCAGAGGTTTTCTGGCCTCAGCAGGAGCTGTCCCAGCCTGGGGACAGTCCCCAGGGCTCCCCTGCCCTCCCCGACCCCCTCATGAAAGGGGCCATGTCCACCTCACCCATCGCGGGTCGGTCCTACTGACTCCACTAAGGCTCTCCCACACAGCCAGCCTCACCCTACAGCAGCTCACTTCTCTCGTCACGCGACGTTTCTGCTCTTTCCAAGCACCGCTAAAGTAAAACAACAAAGCAAAGGAAACATCGACGCTCTTACTTCAGCAGCATCCGCGGGCTCGGGCGCCATGCTGAGTACTGGCGGCGCGCCGCCATCTTGGCGCGGCGCTGCCCTCACGGGCGGGGAAGGGAGCTTCATGTCCCATCCTCTGCCCTCACCCAAAATGGCCGCGGGCGCGTCCGTCCATCCCTGAGGCGGGACCAGCGCTGAGGGCGCGGGACGCGGAGGCGGCCGCGGATCCTTTTAGAACGCGGCTGGAGGCCGGGCAGGTACGGCGGGCACGGGGCTGGGCGAGGGCGAAGGGCGGCCTCAGGTTCCCCACGCGCGGGGAGACAGAAGCCGCGGGCTGGGTGGGTTCTGGCGGGGCCGGTCCCTGGCTGGGGAGGGTCTACCTCTCCCTGAGGGGGAGACCAGGCTGGGGTGGGAGCAGGTGCAGGGTTGGGAGGTAAAGAAAAAATGAGCTCTGTAAAGAAAATTCAGCTGATGTGCGGTCCTGACTTGATGGCTTGATTTCAAGGGGTGCCTTCCAAGAGATTTTGCTGGCTCGCCCTGAACAGAGAGCTTGGAGGAAGCGTGAGAATGTTATTTTGATGCTGGAGATCAGTTCAGTGTCAAACCAGACAAATTCAAGCAAAATTGAGGTTTGGAATTTGAAATGAAAGAGCAGCACAAAAATTCCTCTTTCTCTGTAATCATAACGTTGTAGTAAAACTTTAGTGTTTGCTTTAGGGTGCGTTTATGATTTATTTATTAAATGTTACTTTAGAAGCTGCTTTGGTGCTTTTTATTCGAAGGTCCATCTCTTGCAAGCAACAGCCTGTGAGAGACAATGCCCTGATGTTGGGTGTCCAACATTAAACCAAAACTAGCATTTGCCTGCTTGAACTTCCCTAAATTATTATGGGGGGAGATATCAAAGTTTGCATTAATAACTTGGCTGATATGTGTGAGGATTGTGTTCTAAGTAGTAATATTTGTTAAATGCAGTGAGATTTCTGTAGTGATCTCGATGTATTTCATAACTTGGATTTGATAACAGGCAGGAGAAGGCATTGTGCATGCTGAAGTATTTTCCGGTGTATTGAGAGCAACTCACAGGAGTCATTTGAAAATTAAAATTTGATGCTTGACATCCGGAGGAGATGGAGCATGTCTTATGCATAAGTGCTTTTGGCTCTTTCGGTTTCAGATGCTTTCAGATGTGTTGCTAAGAGATTAAAATCAAAGTCGTGGGTGCTTTTTTGTTTAACTGAAAAGACCTGGCTAAATCTGCTCCCCTGGAGCTTTGTTTCCAAACTGCCAGAATTGCAGGAGCATCTTCTTGTATCCAAGAGCAGCTGGATAACTAAGGGACTGAAAATCACATATTTGCCTTTTGTGAGAATTGGATGTGCTCAGACCTGCTCTCTCCGTGTTTGTCATGGTTATTCAAAACCTGATGAATGTTGGCATTTTCTGGAAGCCTGTTATGATGGGCAGCTAAAAGCAGCTTAATGCCAGCCTCCTTGAACTGCTTCTGTGGGACAGGCTGCCCTGGGAAGTGGTGGAGTCACCATCCCTGGAGGTGTTCAAAAACCACGTAGGTGAGGTGCTTAAGGACATGGTTTAGTGGTGGACTGGGCAGTGCTGGGTTAGTGGTTAGGCTTCATGATCTTAAAGGTCTTTCTCACCCGAAATAACTCAGATTCTATGCTGTAAAACAGTAAAATGTACTGAAAATGCTGCATGGGATTACCCAGCTCTTACTGGTTTTAATTAGTGCCTGTCTTTTTAGTCTCTACTGCTTCTACCTAGGCTGAAGGCATGGTCTTGTTGAGGACAGACAGACATACTTGTTGGAAGCTCCTGGTTGTGTTCCTGAGGTGGCCTGGAAGATGGGAATGCCGTCTGTGGCATTATGGGATGGTTGCAGTGCTTGGCTGTATCCCTTCCTGGGATGAGACCCCATCCCAAGCATCCCAAGGCTGCCCTGTCCTGCCCCAGCTCCCAGACTAGCCCTTCACACAACCTCTGAGCACACAGGAAAAATGCTGTCAAAGAGATTTCCATTCCCCTTGCTGTTTTATCTGTTTGAAGGGCTGCATGAATTAGCAACAACATTGTTCCAGATTCTTGGTTTTCACATTTTTTATCTGGAATCTGATTATAATAGAAAGAGACTTTTACCCCTAAAATGAGAACTTTCTTCCCAGAGTTCAGATTCCTGTTGTTGTTATGCAACTCTCGACATGACAGTTTTACTTTGTGGTTGTTTTCCGTGCACATATTGCTCTTCCTGTCCAAAAAGACTGTGTTCTTACCCTGGAGTATCTTTTATAGTCTAGATTAAGACTTGGTAAGACTTGGAAGGGGGGCTGATGAAGTAGTCAATCATTGAAATTTTTTTTTCTTTATTTTTTTTTTTCCTTTTTGTTTTTTTGGTCCAGTGAGATTTCATGAGTCAAACTGGGCTGTTGGGAGTTTCTTTTGAAGATGTACATGTTGGTTGAAAAACGCACAAATTCCCATCTTCACCTGAAGAGGTCACCTGGCATCCGATCCTGGTCTCTCTGTGTTGGTAAGACCACAGCATTCATTTCAGAGCTTGCTTTAAGGGAAGAGGGTCACAATAAACTCCTGACAGAGCCCCTAGTGAAATGCCTGCCTTCCAGGCATTTTCCTTTCCAGAAGAGGAAAGATTGTGCTTTGAACTATTCCTTTCTCATCACCACTAAATGAGTCTGAAGCCTCTGATGGCAGTTTCACTGTGAGACTTTCAGTCTCATCTGGAGAACCTCAGAAGCTCATGGATGGAGTTTTAAAGGAGTCCTGAAAGATCCAAGAACAGAAGGTTTATTATGTGCCATGCAGCAACAGAAATGTGAAGCTCCTGAAGGGGGTTTTAGGTTAAGAAACATCTCAGTTTGCAGGAGTGTAAAACTGCAGTGTGACCATGCTGGGTTGGATCGTGTGTGTGGCTGGTGCTGAGCTCCTAGGGACTCTGTATGAAATGGGAAGTCATACAGGATGTTCTGAAAGGCATCTTTATAAACACTACTGAATATGCAGGAAAAATAAACTTGTTAGGATTGTAGTGAGAGAGCTGCTGGGGAAAATCTGGTATATCCTGCTTTCCAGCTGAGCAGATCCCACTGCAGTAACACCACGTTGTCATTGCTTTCAGGGATATTGTTGAGAACATCTTTGCAGTTGCAGCAGCCTCTGGGGCATGGGGCATTCGTCAGCTGCTTCTTCCTCTCTGAGAGAAAGGAGCTAGCAGTTTCTGACACCACTGCAAAACTTGTCTTTTGGCTCCATAGACCACTTTTAAGGGGGAAAATAACCATTGCAAGGTTTGTGTGAGCACTCCAAGTAGTACTGTGCTGAGAAGTATGGAAGTGTCATGGTTAGATGACACTTCTAGTGTCATCCTCTCCGAGGTTCTGTTCCCAGTTGTGTCACAAAATTTTCATTTTGGACCCTAGCCCCTGTGCTTTTAATGCCTTTGCAGAATGGAAGTTTTTTTAATACTGAGAGAAAAAAAAATAACTTTCATACAGTGATCTGTGTTGCAGTCACGTTTATCCTGTTTTTGAAAAGTGATGTTTTTCATCAGGGAATGTTTTTTGAGCTGCTTATTTGTCTTAATTCTCTCCTCTTTCCTCCTAGGAATAGCCTCCATAGGTTTGGCTGCTGCTTATTATAGTGCAGGTAATGGCCTATCACTTTTTTTTGGGAGAGTTATTTCTTCCCTGTTAATCTGTTTTTCATGCTGATGACTCATCTGCAGCTTCTGTCTGGCCCTTCAAAGGCAGTGGAGGTTCCTCTCCCACTTTGTGGTGTGAATATTAAAACCAATAATAACTGTTGCCTCTATGGCTTACTGTGCTTTAGTGCTCTATTTCTTACTCAGCCTCCTTTTCCATTTGCAAGTATTTTTAATAATGATATTGGTACTCTGTGGCATTTTGTACTTTCAATGTTGTATAAATGTGATTAGCTGGTCCTCACAGCCCTCCTGGGAAGACATGTAATGATTATTTGACACCATAATGAAATGATTACTTTGCCTGTGATGAAGTTCTCTGTTTCTCTGGAAACTGTCAGATCATCACTAGCAGAGATTACTCATCCAGGCACCTTCAGGGATGAGACAGCTTCTGCTGCTTCCTCGCCCTGCAGTACAGCAGACTGCACCAAATGCCAGCTGTCTTTCCATCCATGGGATTTGTCCTGCAAGCTGCCCTGTGATTCTTGTGCTGCATCCTGTTAACATCAAATGTTAAAACTTAATAGTGTGTAGGAATGTGCTCCTAATAGAACCCACATATTTTTATTTAAAGAGAAGAATGCAGTGAAAGCTGCTTGAGCCACCAGCTAAATCAGCCTTGTTTTTCTTAAAAGGTTGCAACAAAATTTTCTGAAATCCCAGCACAGTTCTGCTGTGCCTTCAGTTAAAAAGCCTGAGTGAGCAAATAATTCAGGCTGTGACATGTAAACGTTTTCAGGACATGAAATGCAAATGTTTGTTTGTCAAGAGGACCAACTGCTTCCTTTTGTGCAGAAACATGTTTGCTTTATTGAATTTTCATTGTCCTTATCCTTGTCCTCTGCAGCACAAATATTTGGTGTTTGACAGCACGTTGGCAGTTTTGTGATTGCCTTTTAAGATGCCTTTGCTTGTACAGAGAAAGATGTGATGTTACAACCTTGCCAATAATACATATGCTTATAGTTCTGCATGGTTTGAAGCCCAGCGTGAATGAAGTCTCTGAAAAGTGTGAAGACTTGCTGTATTTTCATTCTGGGAAGGAGCTGTAAAATAGCTTGTAGTACAACTAAAGGCAAAAATATTCCATCAGAGAAACCTTTGCTCCTTTTGTTGCTTTTAAAGGGAGCATGTTGCTTTCAGGATTGTTTGAATACCAGAGAAGGGGGGAAAAAAGCTAAATTTGTGCATTTTTTGCATTGTCCAGACAGCTTGGCATGGAAGCTCTTCTACATGGCTGGGTGTTTCTTTGTGGCAGCCCAGAATCTGGAGCAGTGGGAGGTAAGATGCTGAGCTCAGGAAATGAGGGTCTGTGAGTAGGAGCAGTTGGCACTTGCTCAGTCCAAACAGACAAGTTATGCTTTTGGTTTTGAGGAAACCCTCTGGGTTGCTCTGCTGGGACTAGAATTAGGGCAGTAATTCTTTGATTACACAAGTATAAAAATGTGAAGCTAAATAGATGGGTATTTTTAAGAGGAGACTTGGCCCAAAATGTTCTCTTATATAAAAGAGGAAGGATGAGCAGGACATTCAGCTGCAGAACATGATTTTGAACTTAGCCTTCAAGCTAATGATGGAGCAACCACTAAATAAGGGAGCTCTGAGCTTCCAGGCTGCTCAGCTTTTTTCCTCTGGTTTAGAATTGTGTGGATGTTGATTTGAGAGCAGTAAGCCACATTGTCACCCTGCTGACTTGAGTTGTGTTAGAATGAGCAACTCACCTAAAGAGAACGAGATCCTCTTTTCATTGATTAATATGAAATTTTATTAATATCCCAAATCATTAATATCCATTTTCTTTGGGATATTTGAGGTCTGTTTAAGCCTGGCCCATGAAGCAGAGCACTGGGATGTCAAATTCACCAGAAGTGAAAATTATAGGAGTTACAAGTTAGTGTTCAAATTTGATTCCAGGCAAAGTTTTTATTACATGAGGAATGTGGCAAGAGGGAAATGAACCCACTTTTAACTCCCTTCTAGAAGTCACACAAGAGATATGGTAAAGTTTCTGTTAAAACCAAGAGGAAGATTGTGATTTTCATGGTCTAGTAATAGAGGAATGTCTCTAAGCTAGCTGTGTATTTTTCTTTTATCAAGATTATTTTCCCATAGAACTATTTTTATTTTACTTTGAAGTATAGCTAGTGATGGTGTTTTCAAGAAAATCTTAATTTTTATTTTTCAATTTTACAGGAAGCTGTATTTGATAAAAACAAGGGAACAATCTGCCTAAAGACATTCAACCTCTACAAAAAAATACTGACCTTGTCAAAAGGAGGCAATGAACAAGGTGAGAAAGCAGCATCTGTGGTATAAAATGTGGTGAGCAGCAGAAGAGATGGTTGTGTGCCCATTTAATAGCTTCTCTGGAGTTCTGTACTCAAATTAAGTCACATCTGCTTCCAGATCTGCTTTGTTCCCAAGCAGCAGATGTAACAATCTGCTTCTCTGGGCCCAAATGCTTTTTCTCAGTGTGCTGAATGCATCTTGTTAATTATTTTAATCCGAGGTAAGTAGGCCTACACATTGTTTTCCATAATAATCTTGGCCATTCCTTTGGGATGTTAATGTGTTTACTTTGCTCTTGGCTAGCCTGCTTGGCAGCTGGGACTGGTGGAAAAACTTCAATTTTGGATCCAGAAGTTGAGATTCCTGTAATCTCATCTGCTTTGGGGAGCAGGCAAAGGATTGATACCATATGCAAGCAGGCATGTTACATCCTGCATATAGAATATGCATTTAAAGCAGCCTGTGCAGGAGGCTCAGTTTAATGCAGGATCTCATGGCCTTTGGGCTTCCTCTTGGACTAAGAGAAGTTGCAGTATAGCCTGTGAGTTGGTGGAATCATGGTGAGTTGGTGGCTCTGTTGCAAACTGGAATCTCTATTCTGTGGCAAAAGTAGGATCTTCTTCCATGTGAAGATTTTTTGTTCTCAGACAAAACTGATGTAAATAGAACCAGCTCTCAATAAGCTCAGAAGAGTGGCCAAATTTGGAATGACCTTAAGTTGAATTTGTTTTTAAAGAGCTCATTTTGGAGATGGAAGATAAAACATGTGGAGAGAAGGCTGTTTAATGTTTCTGAGCTTTCCTTTAGGATACATGTTTACAATGGAGAGCTGAGTCTCTCTCTTCCTCTGTGATAATACCTGGTTTAGGTACCATTCATCTGAGGATGCAGAGATCAGCAGGTGCTCTGAGCTGTTAAATATTTCAGTATTGTTCAATCTCAGTCAACTGAGCACCTGTTTGCCTATTCCATACAGAAAAATAGTTATAATTGCCACTAAAGTAAGTGGGAAACATAAGTAATACTGGCTTGCTCCCCAGTGCCTAGCTGGCTGTACTTTTTTGCTTAGGGCCTATCACAGCTACAATGTGCTGCAGTCATATTTCTTCTGCCTCAGCAGCTCAGCAGCTGTTTAGATGCCTAAAGTTTAGCTTTTTTATTTTGCAAATTCTGTGCTGCTTTAGTGTGTACTTCTGAGCTTCATATTAGGGGATGGTGAGCTCTCTTCACAGAGTAGGGAGACAAAACAATTCCTGCTCTAGCTGGGGACCAAGGACAGATAATCCAAATTTCAGGCCCAAGAGCATAAACAACAGTAGACTGAAAAGAGAAAAACAAGAAGGATGGGACTTCATAAGCTAAAGCTGTAATTAGACAGCTCCAATATGCAAATGGAGCAGAACTGATCAAATGAGAGACCCCATGAGCAGTCGTCCATTTTGTGACCATTTTGGTTCATCCTGGGTGCAGCCCTGGCTGGGCTCTTGTGCTGCCCAAGGTGGATCCATTGAGGCCTTTGAATAAATACCTAAGTAGAATCAAGTTATTCTTTAGCTCCATCTAGTCTCTGTTCTAGGTCAGCTTTCACAGGGCATCCGTTCGCTGCTGCAGGACTGCCCTGGCTGTGAGGGATCGCAGCAGTGGTGCCCAAGAGCAGAGTCTCTGTCACCCTGTCTGGGTGTGACCCGTGGCAGCGCTGAGGCTTTGCAGTGATGCTGACAGCTGTGTGTTCTGCCCGTCTGTGCAGTGGTGGCCGTGCTGAGCGAGATCCGCGATGTGAACGTGGAGGAGGAGGCCGTGCGCTATTTCGGGAAGGGTTACCTGGTTGTGCTGCGCTTCGTCACCGGATTCTCGCACCCGCTCACCCAGAGCGCCGTGCTGGGCTGCAGGAGGTGAGGGGGGACTTGGTAAAATTAGAGCCTGTAAGGTGGAAATGCCAATCACATGGGTCAGTAATTGCCAACTATTATTGATGCCTCAGGTTTTAGCTTTTATGTTTTTCAGATTCTGAGCTGCTTTAGTGTGCGCTTCTGAGCTTCGTATTAGGGGGTGGTGAGCTCTCTGCACAGAGCAGGGAGACAAAACAATTCCTGCTCCAGCTGGGGACCAAGGACAAATGATCCAAATTTCAGGCCCAAGAGCAGAAACAACATGGACTGAAGAGAAAAAAAAAAAACCCAAGAAGGATGGGAATTCATGAGCTAAAGCTATAATTGGACAATTAACTCCAATATGCAAATGGAGCAGAACTTATAAAAGTGTGAGACCCCATGACTGGTCATCCATTTTGGGACCATTTTGGTTCATCTTGGGTGTAACCCTGGCTGGGCTCTTGTGCTGCCCAAGGTGGATCCATCAAAATCTTCTAATAAATCCCTACTTTATTCCTTAACTCTGTCTAGTCTCTGTTCTAGGTCAGCCTTCTCAAGGCATCATTATAACTAAGCTCAGTTTTTAGACTTGCTGTTATGACCTCGTGTTACTCAGTTTAACCTTTTAAACCCCATAATGTTTTCATTTGCAGACATTTGGCTAACACCATCTGTCAGGATCATGTTTAAATATCTAAGATCCCTTTAGTGCTGGAGTTGCCTTCCTGAGCTATGCAGTGGCAGAGGGGATCAATTCTACTTTGCAAACATTTGGTGTATTAGTTAACAAAAAATTTTTCTTAAGCATTGATAGTAAGGAACCTTGCAGCAGGCACTGGGAAAGGACTGATTTGTTCTGATGTGAGGGAATGGCTTGGTGTGGCATGCTGTCACCAATACCCTCTATGCCCATATGACTTTCCTTCTAGGCAGTTATTTTCAGGAATTAGCATGCCTGCTCTTCTCTTGTCACCACTACAGTTCCACTAACTCTTCCATTGTTTCTTCTTTTCCACAGTGATGTGGAAGCAGTTGCCAAACTCATTACAAATTTTCTGGAACTGGACAGAGTAGAGACCCCACAAGATTTCTCCCAGAGCAGCGAAACAGAGGCAAGTGATGCAGATGAACCCACAGGTTAAATGCTGATAGTCATTGTGAACTGAAGCAAGCAGAGGCTTTCACACATTTGGAAAATATTCTGATTGTTCTTCAGAAAAAGAAACCCCTCACAACCTTGACCTGGGCATTTCTCAACGTGTGCATTTACAACGGGTGGAATCTGTCGTAGTTTAGTGTTAAACTGCTTCAAGACCCTGCATGTGGACACTGCTGGCTTTTGAACTTCTGTCACGTCTTCAAACTTGTCTAGGAATAGTTATTTATTAAGGAATTGGTTTGAAATAATTGCTTTTCCATTAATGAAAATACAGATGTGAACTTCTGCTTACTGCAAACATTTGCTGCAGGTACAGTATATGCAATGTAGAAGAGTTGAATTTGTAACTCATAACACAATGCTTTGAGGTTTCCCCTTTAATATATGCAATTAGGAGATGCAGAGTAGTGGCACTTTTATGTTCTCTACTACTGACTTGCCATTGGATATCTGTGGAAATTAAAGTCTGAGTGCCTCTCTTGGAATTTTAAACATCAGGTTGATCAACTTGTAACGGTGTCTTAACTTATCTCAGACTCACCAAGGAGCCATAAATAGGAAAGGAAAAAGGATCATGATGAAATTTTTTTGGGATGCTCTACCTTAATCCTGTTCTGAGCAGGACAGAGCAATCTTTTTCTAGACCTCAATGTTTACTATTTAAACTATGTATTTAGAAATTAAGCAGGGACATGTGTAACTTTAGGTAGGGAACAGACTGCTGTCAAACAAGGTGGTAGCTTAGAGTTGTTGAGTATTTCCTCACTTGAAATGATACCGAAGTGCTGAATAAGAACTTTTTTTAAAGTAGGTAGCATAGACTAAATGTCTGACTTGTACCTGTGTTTTACTTCAGGTATGTGGTGTCTTCTGTTCTGACCAATGGTTTCACAAATAGTTAAAATATAAATTTTTTCAAGGTATTTCTGAAGTAAAAGCTACCTCTCTTAGTCAACATATTCTGTCTAGAGCTAGAACTCCATCATGCTTACATTAACATATACAAGAAAAAATTGTAAAAAGCTGCAAGTTCCTTCAGCATGCTACAGCTGCTTGTACTGAAGTTCACTAGGTTTTATTTAGGAATCTTATGGTCTTTAGATTTAGGAAATATTTACACAGTTACATCTAGGAGATATGAACAGGGTACGAGGTGACTGTGTTGTCTGCTTTCACTGTTGGCCAGCAGCAAATGTCTCCTGTCAGCAGTTTCTTCAGAATTTAAAAGAGCCTGTGTTCTTGTTTCCAATCACTCTACCTCTACAGAGAGAAGGCTCTGGAAAGTTCTTGGTAGAAGGCATATCCTGTTGTGTGTTCAGTTTGGTCTGAAGCTGAGCACCTGCTCATCAAAGATTTCCTTTCCAGCCGTTCAGACCCAGGATGTGAGCAGAGGCTGAGGCTGCTGCTGTCAGGGGAAGGTGCTCACACTGCAGGTTGTTGATGTAGCTTACCTGCAGCACAGAACTAGGTCTGTTTCCTTTAAATGAGGTAAAAAACTTGTAATCATGTCAGGTATTGGTACAGACCTCTGCCAGTACATGTTCCTAAAAGTCCTCTGAGTTGTTGGGGTAATCATGGGGCTTTTGGTGCCTACCCCACACCACTGGAAACTGGGAAGCTGCCATGTATGAACGTGGGAAAATTAGGTTGCAGACAATTAGCTTAATTTGCCTTTATTCTCCAGCACAGCTGTAGGCTAAGCATAATCATCAAACCTGTTTAAAAAATATTGCAGGGTGTAACACTTTGTAGAGTTCCTCATTTAAATCCACTGTAATGTATACCCCAGGTGATGCTTATTTTAGAGAGAGGAGAATGAGACTGGGGATTTGGAGAACTCTTTTTTTTCCCCACACTGTAAAATGAGAATGGTGAGTGTTCTAAGGACTTGCAGTAGGAAGTACTGTCCTAGAGTATGCGATGGTACAGTGTAAGCACAAGGGCTCAGTGTGTGGTAGCTGCTGCTTTGTATCAAGGATACTCAGAGGGCATTGTGGTGTGCATTGCACTTACTCTGAGCCCGTGGAGTGGACCATGGATAAACCAGACAAACTACCTGCCTTCAGTCTCAGCTCTGTATTTCATTTGTATTCCCATGAGAGCTGACATTCCATGGAAGATATAAGCCACACTGTAGTTCTCCAGTTAAAAATCAGCTTTTGAGAGGTACGTCTGCTGGTCTGACCCTGCACTGCATCCTGTGTCCTGCTTCTGCTGAGCTGCAGTGCATCCAGCTTGCTGTGCATTCATGGTGTTAGTCATGTCTACACTTACAGACTATGCAATATCTGAGACAAAGACTAAAACAATGGAAAGAAATTGAGAATATGGAAAGGTACAAAGGTATAGTAAGGTACAATGTAACTCGAAATACATGCTGTGGAGTAAGCTGTATGTTGGGTTGATGTCAGTGATCAGCTCTTTAGAGGTGTTTCCCAGTATCCTCCTCACCCCTCATTATCCTGCTGTGTTAGGAGAGGGATGGCTGCTGCCATGCACTGTGTCTAGGAGGAATTTTAACTCCTCAGCCTTTCCCTTGGCCAGCTGGTGCCATCCTCTCTGGTGCCATTTCCATTTTGCATTTGGCAGCTCTCACTGTACCGACACGTCAGTTTCAGTGGGGACCTGTGTTCTGTAGTCTGGGCTAGCAGGATGGGGCCCTGAGGACATTGTGGCAGGCTGTGGGTGCTGCCTGTGGGGATGTGTCAGGCACTGCTGGCTGACCCACCCAGGAGCTTCCTGTGGCACTGATCCGTCTGAGCCTGGCAGAGACACTGCACCAGTGTTAGCACAGGCTGATGGGGTTTTCTCTTGTGTTTCTCTTGATCCACATGTGGAGCTTCTTGCCCTCTAAAACTTTGTAGCTGGAAGACATGGCCAGATGCAATGCAGTACCTGTGCATGTACAGTGAACAGCCACTGCTGTTCTCACGGGTTTGGTCGGGGCAGTGTCTGTGCACTCCTCAGCCATGGGATCAGCCTGAAGAGCTGGGGAAGGCAGGTGCAGCTCAGGACAGGTCCACTCTTCCTTGGACGAGTCCTTTCTCATCCTCCTTTTCTGCCACTTCTCACCATTCTGCTGAAGGCTTTCCTGGATGGTTTTCCTCACTCCTGTTGGGCCCAGCAAAGGCCCAGTAAACAGAGCCTTACATGTGCCTGCTGTGAAGTGACTTGGACTCAAAGGACTGACATGAAAGACTCATTTTGCTTAGGACATCAGGTACTCCTAGGAGACTCACAGGTGTAGTCATCAACTTCTGCATCCCAGGCTATCGAGAGATTTGTGCCTGGACAGCTGCAGTTTGCAGTTCTCAATGATGTGAAAAGCTGCATAGCAGACCTTAGATGAGCTCAAACAGCCTGACCCCTAAAGCAAAGCCCTGGGTCATGTCCTTCACTGTAACTGCGTGGTCAGTGCCACTTGCAGGTGCTTCAGCTCATGCAGGGGCAGCACAGTGGAGCTCCTTGCGTGGCTGTGGTGGGATGGACTGGGGCTGTGGCTGCTGCAGTGAGCAAAAGCCAGAGTGCAGCTGTGCAGAGGGACAGCACTGCTCTGTGTAACCTCATATTCCAGTACTTCACAATGAAATATTCCATACCTGCCATCAGCTGTGCAGGTCTCAAAGAAAATCCAGATATTTATAGTTGAGATCTGACTCTCGAGCTGTATTTATGAAGTTACACAGATACCAAAACCTCAGCTTGCTCACATAATAAATAAAAAGTGCTAGTTCTGACAGTGTCATAGATGGCTAGGAGGCAAAAATACTTCTGGAAAATGTTTAGAAATTGCCTTTTTTTTTTAACTTTAAAATTGCAAGTAGAATTTCAGCAAGGCCTTGTTGTGTTGTCTTTTTTAAAAAAAAGTTCATTGATAAAATCAACTTTGATAACTTGTTTTGCATCGCTGTAGTATTTTGTATTGTTTTTAATTAAAATTATTAAAATATGAATGGCTGTCTAAATTATTACTGGGAACAGATCTACTGAAGGAGTTAATGAGGGGGAGGACAGAATAGAAGAAGCCCAAATACCTGCTCAGAAGTGACCCTGCTGGCACCTGCAGCAGTCCAGCTTTTATTTCCATATAAGCCGATAGATCCAATTCTCTATTGGTGAATATTTCCATTTTCCCTCCTTTAAACCAAACCAACATGCTACACACACAAAAAGCAACACCCTTCTACAAACACTTTGAGTATCAAAGGTTTTAATCAAATAAAATAAATTAAGATCCTGTCTAGTTCAAGCTATGTGACAGGTATACAAAGCAACTGCTTCTTTTTAGATGAAGATCTGCATGTGGACCTGGTTACTGAGGCTCTCATGGAGTCACCTGAAGCTTGTCTTATGCTGTAGTTTTACTTTTCGTATGTTAAAATTTGTTCCAAGAAAATTTCAATACCAATGCTCCCCAAAAAAATGTAAAGAAGAATAAATGAAGCACAGAAATAAATATTTTGAATATTCATGGTGAAGTAACATACTTAACAACTATACTTATGAATGATCTCCATTTAGTGGAGAATAATCACCAAAAGTCCCCAAAATATATTTCTATACATTATGACAAGTTTGACATTAAAGCAGAATAAACCAGCATTTTTTCCTTATATTTAGTAGCTTTAGTCATGGCTCACACTGGGACAAACCTGGGAAGTGCAGGTTGCAGTTTGAGGTTTTACACAGCTCAACAGATGCCTCAGTGGGTGGGTGGTGCTTTTCTGTGGGGCTGGACTGAGCTCTGGTGCCCTGGCACAAGGCGAAGCAGCCCAAGGTGTTAAGGCATGTCCCCTCCAAGCCCAGGTGTCACTGCCTCAGGAGCTCCCTCTGGCTCCTCACTCCTCTTGATGGAACGAATGCTAGGACACAGCTCAGAGCACAGCTGACAGGTGAAGGAGTTTTGGTACAGAACATAATGACCCAAACATTTTTAAAGTATCCTAAATATTAGGGTAGAACTTTCCCAGGTCATTGTTATGAAGAATGTTGCTACAAATCTTGAATTTGGAAGAAACTGGGTTTTTCTCCTGCCTTGTAGGAGAGTGAGCTGTGACTCACTCCTGCATTCTGTTATGCAAGGGCAGCAAACCTGACTGACAGGCAGGTGAATTAAGGCTCAGCATGTGTTAAGACAGGAAAATTGAGTTGAAGTGTTTTATGCTAACAAATGCCTTCAGGTTACTTTTGTTTAACCACAGTTCATGCTTTTACTCTCAAGATGACAAACTCCAGCTCAAGGGCTAGTTGCTGGTTTTCACTAGTCATGTTTTTCCAGGGAATGAATCAGACTAATTGCTTCATTTAAATCATCCAGCATTTCCTGCAGCTTCTGCAGGCTGGGGTGGACATTCTCCTCCATCCATTCCTCTATAGCACACTTGTGGAAAACTGGCTCCATGGCTGCTTGCAGGTCTTGCACCACAGCATTCCACTTGGAGAAGAGCCTGAGCAGAAGTGAGAAGAAGAAACAATGACATTTGCAGGTGAGCTCTGCCTCAGGGGAGGGTTGGCTTACTGGCCTTTGGAAGGGAGTACTGTCCTTAAAACCACTTTACAGGAAAAGAAGCTTCTATTACAAGAGCCCAAATGACTTAATTTTGTTCAGATGGCAAAAGCTTGATGCTGTTTCTCTTTAAGTTCCATTAATCTTGGCACTTTCCTCATGCCAAGACTTTTAAAGTACCAAAAAGTGAGCTCAGAAAAACACACATTTTAAGTGTAACTGAAACCCACTGTGAGACTTGTTGGGAATTTAATTCTGGGTTTTATCAGAAGGAGTAGATGAGGTTGGATATTCACCTTATCACAGGAAAAAAAAAAACAACAAAAAAGAAAATAAGTATAAATGAACCTTTTAGCATGAATTGGCAAAAAGTCTAGGACAAGTTCTGAAAAGCCCATGCCGACAGGGAGCAGGGGCAGGGCCTGGCTTTAGTCCAAGCCCTGCCTGCAGTCTGGCCCAGGGTGAGCTCCTACACCAAGGCCAACCACTGCTCAAGGTGCAGCAGGGCTGAGGCTTTTGTACTTGTTCTCAAAGTACTTGAGATCAATTCTGTACTTTTCTCAAAGAATTCATTCAACAGAAGGCAAAGATAAAATTAGAATCATAGAATGGTTTGTGTTGGAAGGGAACTGTGAAGATCATCTAGTTCCAACCCAAACATGTTGCATAAAAACATGTTATGGATACTCTGTCTGACTCCCACTGATGTTTCTGAGATAATTACAGAAAGAGGAAAGGCTCACAGCTCTCTGTACCCGAGTGCCCAGAATATATCAGATTTTATTTCCCCTGTAGTGCAAAACAAGTGCTGTTACCTGACTGCATCTGGCTGGAGGTGGTGCACTACGATAGGATGAATAATCTTCTTTTTCCTGTGGTAGGGGCTGAACCAGCCTGTGGCATACCTGAAAATGGATGTTGGTGGGAGCAGTGATGAAACAGCAGCAGCATCTGTTTGTCACTGCCAGGGAGGCTTTAGCTGAACTCTGCACAGAAATGCTGCTTAAGGAGTAAGTTTATTTCAGTCTATAGATCTTTGGAATTACCTTGTGAAAGTGTTCCTGGCAGATGATCACCTGATATCTGCTGCAGTGGAAGTTTTATTTCAAGTTCCTTTCTTTTTTAACTACAGCATTCAAATTTTTCATTTTAACTTTAAACAGCAGTAAAATGTAATTAAGGAAAGAACTATATGCTTCAAATAAGGCAGCATACATTATTTAGGAACTTTGCTAAAATATTTTAAATTTTGATGTAAATATTATTTTCTGCTGAGGTGTCAGTGACACCTGAAATGCAGAGCTTGATATTTAAATCACTTTTCTGGAGTTTTGCCCCACTCTGAGATGACACAGCTCCAACACTGCTGCAGCCAGGCAGAGAATCAACAGAAACCTCATTACCTGTTCCTTTCGAGAAGTTCATCCACTGATGACTTGAGGTGGAAACTAATTTCTGTCACAAGGGTGAGGATATTGCTCCCAGGAAAGGTCCCCAGACTTGGGCTGTCCAAAGAGGATCTGTTAGATTCTGAACTTACCACACAAGCACCTGAATTCTGCAGCTGGAATGTTACCTCATGAAAGTATCAATTTCCAGGTTAGGCATTCCCAGGAGGATTTCCACATTTTCTTTCATCTTTTCAGAATAGCCACCTGGCAGAAGACAGTGGAAATGAGTAAAGGAGCCTAAGGAACCAAAATGTTCACACAAGAGGGGTTTTCTGGAGTATTCTGCCTTGGCTTAGTAGTTCCCCTTTGGTGAAGAATTTTTGAAAAGGTGAAATGGAAATAAAAGAAGGAAAAAACACTGGTGGGTGGGAGGAGGAGCGCAGTGTCTTTGACACAGCTGTCTTGTGCAAGGTGAGCACTTCCTAGCTCTGAGCTTTCTGTTCAGGGTGCTGAATATTTCTAGTGCCTTAATTAAAAATCAGTGGATTGTGGGAGTTTATTTGAAAATAAGAAAAATATTGTTTGTAACTGCAAGAAAGAAAGCAGAAACTACAGGAGGTATTTTACCAGACAGTGTCCTCCCTAGATCCATTTTAAGAAAAACAATTACTTAAAACAACTTTTACACATGAGCATGTTCTAAATTAAACTAAATTATGCTAATTTATATATCACTATTGTTTTAAGTAAGTTTGAAAAGCAATTCTGCATCTTAAATTTATTTTTTAATATAACCATGAAGTTTTTGACCATTTGTGTGTAAGATCACAATAAATGAAGAGGATACAATGGCTATTTTTAAACACTTAAGCCAAGAGGCTTCTCTGCTCCCATACTGCAAATTATAATTTATTCATAATTCAGGCCATCATCAATTCAGCAAACCATCTCAAAATATAACAAGCCTGTTCTAATATTAGGGGAAGATCACTCCTGTGCTAGGCATTATCTGAGAGAGAATAAAGTTGTCATTGTACCATTCTTTATTGTCTGCAGACACACGGCCAGAGATGGAATTGCCACAGGGAGAAGCTCACACAAAACAGAGAAATGATCATACCTACATAAGAAAACATCCATTAATTACACATTTTACTGTTAGAGCAGACTAAACAAGTGGGAAGTTTTAATATTTTAATCACTACAATTCAAAGAGCTTTAGAAACATCCGTTTCTGCCTCAGAGAACAGATCACTTTTCTCTGAAATGTGAAGTATTCCTCTTTTACTAGTAAAAACAGATGAAAACCAAATTCTCTTCTCAAGGCAAATTAGGGTCAGAAATTGGACATCAGCTCTCTGGTATTCCCTACTCCTGACTGCATAAAAATGTTTTACTCCTTCATAACTTTAATAAATTCTTGTCTCATGTGATTTCATAGTTTTTGAGTTCCCATCAGACATTCAGATTGACACACCATGCACGAACTACAGTGTCTATGAGCAGTTCAAGGTGGCACAAAATCCATTCAAGCCTTCCAACCCAGCCTGCTGCTGGTGGTGTCCCCAAAGCCATCGCTCCTGCTGGTTAGAGCTCTACAGCTACCTGAAACTGAAATCCACCTTCACAGTCGGGGGGTGAGGCCCAGCAGCGACAGACAGGAAGAAGTGCAGGGTGGCAATGTTCCCTTCTGAACCCCCAGCTTCCCTGTACCTCCTGGGGAGCTTTTGGGTGGAAGTTTGCTCATCTGTGACCCCTGGAAGCACACAAAGGCTGCTCCTCACCTCTGCCAGCCGGTCAGTGCGATACCTTCCAGGACATCAGCAGGGCTCCTCCTGGCCACCTGCAGCCACTCCAGCTGGTTCCTGAGGTGGTGCCCAATCAGGGTTAGAGACTGATTCACTCCTGTGGCTCCCTTGAAGGCACTTGCCAACCACACCTTGGAGAAGCCACACCTGCGGTACTTCTCTATGAGCTGCACTGCAGGGACACAAAGGGCACACACAGGATGAGCTTTCTGCAGTTCCAGCCCCTGCAATGCTGCAGTGAAGGGAAA